ATGTCAACACTTACATCATCCCAACTGTCCAATGTCAACACTTACATCATCCCAACTGTCCAATGTCAACACTTACATCATCCCAACTGTCCAATGTCAACACTTACATCATCCCAACTGTCCAATGTCATCTGTGACATCATCCCAACTGTCCAATGTCAACACTTACATCATCCCAACTGTCCAATGTCAACACTTACATCATCCCAACTGTCCAATGTCATCTGTGACATCATCCCAACTGTCCAATGTCAACACTTACATCATCCCAACTGTCCAGTCAACACTTACATCATCCCAACTGTCCAATGTCATCTGTGACATCATCCCAACTGTCCAATGTCAACACTTACATCATCCCAACTGTCCAATGTCAACACTTACATCATCCCAACTGTCCAGTCAACACTTACATCATCCCAACTGTCTAATGTCAACACTTACATCATCCCAACTGTCCAATGTCAACACTTACATCATCCCAACTGTCCAATGTCAACACTTACATCATCCCAACTGTCCAATGTCAACACTTACATCATCCCAACTGTCCAATGTCAACACTTACATCATCCCAACTGTCCAATGTCATCTGTGACATCATCCCAACTGTCCAATGTCAACACTTACATCATCCCAACTGTCCAATGTCAACACTTACATCATCCCAACTGTCCAATGTCAACACTTACATCATCCCAACTGTCCAATGTCAACACTTACATCATCCCAACTGTCCAATGTCATCTGTGACATCATCCCAACTGTCCAATGTCAACACTTACATCATCCCAACTGTCCAATGTCAACACTTACATCATCCCAACTGTCCAATGTCAACACTTACATCATCCCAACTGTCCAATGTCAACACTTACATCATCCCAACTGTCCAATGTCATCTGTGACATCATCCCAACTGTCCAATGTCAACACTTACATCATCCCAACTGTCCAATGTCAACACTTACATCATCCCAACTGTCCAATGTCATCTGTGACATCATCCCAACTGTCCAATGTCAACACTTACATCATCCCAACTGTCCAGTCAACACTTACATCATCCCAACTGTCCAATGTCATCTGTGACATCATCCCAACTGTCCAATGTCAACACTTACATCATCCCAACTGTCCAATGTCAACACTTACATCATCCCAACTGTCCAGTCAACACTTACATCATCCCAACTGTCTAATGTCAACACTTACATCATCCCAACTGTCCAATGTCAACACTTACATCATCCCAACTGTCCAATGTCATCTGTGACATCATCCCAACTGTCCAATGTCATCTGTGACATCATCCCAACTGTCCAATGTCAACACTTACATCATCCCAACTGTCCAATGTCATCTGTGACATCATCCCAACTGTCCAATGTCATCTGTGACATCATCCCAACTGTCCAATGTCAACACTTACATCATCCCAACTGTCCAGTCAACACTTACATCATCCCAACTGTCCAATGTCATCTGTGACATCATCCCAACTGTCCAATGTCAACACTTACATCATCCCAACTGTCCAATGTCAACACTTACATCATCCCAACTGTCCAATGTCAACACTTACATCATCCCAACTGTCCAATGTCATCTGTGACATCATCCCAACTGTCCAATGTCATCTGTGACATCATCCCAACTGTCCAATGTCAACACTTACATCATCCTAACTGTCCAATGTCATCTGTGACATCATCCCAACTGTCCAATGTCATCTGTGACATCATCCCAACTGTCCAATGTCAACACTTACATCATCCCAACTATCCAGTCAACACAAACATCATCCCAACTGTCCAATGTCAACACTTACATCATCCCAACTGTCCAATGTCAACACTTACATCATCCCAACTGTCCAATGTCAACACTTACATCATCCCAACTGTCCAATGTCATCTGTGACATCATCCCAACTGTCCAATGTCAACACTTACATCATCCCAACTGTCCAATGTCAACACTTACATCATCCCAACTGTCCAATGTCAACACTTACATCATCCCAACTGTCCAGTCAACACTTACATCATCCCAACTGTCCAATGTCAACACTTACATCATCCCAACTGTCCAATGTCAACACTTACATCATCCCAACTGTCCAATGTCAACACTTACATCATCCCAACTGTCCAATGTCAACACTTACATCATCCCAACTGTCCAATGTCAACACTTACATCATCCCAACTGTCCAATGTCAACACTTACATCATCCCAACTGTCCAATGTCAACACTTACATCATCCCAACTGTCCAATGTCAACACTTACATCATCCCAACTGTCCAATGTCAACACTTACATCATCCCAACTGTCCAATGTCAACACTTACATCATCCCAACTGTCCAATGTCATCTGTGACATCATCCCAACTGTCCAATGTCAACACTTACATCATCCCAACTGTCCAATGTCAACACTTACATCATCCCAACTGTCCAATGTCAACACTTACATCATCCCAACTGTCCAATGTCAACACTTACATCATCCCAACTGTCCAATGTCAACACTTACATCATCCCAACTGTCCAATGTCAACACTTACATCATCCCAACTGTCCAATGTCATCTGTGACATCATCCCAACTGTCCAATGTCAACACTTACATCATCCCAACTGTCCAATGTCAACACTTACATCATCCCAACTGTCCAATGTCAACACTTACATCATCCCAACTGTCCAATGTCAACACTTACATCATCCCAACTGTCCAATGTCATCTGTGACATCATCCCAACTGTCCAATGTCAACACTTACATCATCCCAACTGTCCAATGTCAACACTTACATCATCCCAACTGTCCAATGTCAACACTTACATCATCCCAACTGTCCAATGTCATCTGTGACATCATCCCAACTGTCCAATGTCAACACTTACATCATCCCAACTGTCCAATGTCAACACTTACATCATCCCAACTGTCCAATGTCAACACTTACATCATCCCAACTGTCCAATGTCAACACTTACATCATCCCAACTGTCCAATGTCATCTGTGACATCATCCCAACTGTCCAATGTCAATACTTACATCATCCCACCTGTCCAATGTCATCACTTACATCATCCCAACTGTCCAATGTCAACACTTACATCATCCCAACTGTCCAATGTCAACACTTACATCATCCCAACTGTCCAATGTCAACACTTACATCATCCCAACTGTCCAATGTCATCTGTGACATCATCCCAACTGTCCAATGTCAACACTTACATCATCCCAACTGTCCAATGTCAACACTTACATCATCCCAACTGTCCAATGTCAACACTTACATCATCCCAACTGTCCAATGTCAACACTTACATCATCCCAACTGTCCAATGTCATCTGTGACATCATCCCAACTGTCCAATGTCAACACTTACATCATCCCAACTGTCCAATGTCAACACTTACATCATCCCAACTGTCCAATGTCAACACTTACATCATCCCAACTGTCCAATGTCAACACTTACATCATCCCAACTGTCCAATGTCAACACTTACATCATCCCAACTGTCCAATGTCAACACTTACATCATCCCAACTGTCCAATGTCAACACTTACATCATCCCAACTGTCCAATGTCAACACTTACATCATCCCAACTGTCCAATGTCAACACTTACATCATCCCAACTGTCCAATGTCATCTGTGACATCATCCCAACTGTCCAATGTCAACACTTACATCATCCCAACTGTCCAATGTCAACACTTACATCATCCCAACTGTCCAATGTCAACACTTACATCATCCCAACTGTCCAATGTCAACACTTACATCATCCCAACTGTCCAATGTCAACACTTACATCATCCCAACTGTCCAATGTCAACACTTACATCATCCCAACTGTCCAATGTCAACACTTACATCATCCCAACTGTCCAATGTCAACACTTACATCATCCCAACTGTCCAATGTCAACACTTACATCATCCCAACTGTCCAATGTCAACACTTACATCATCCCAACTGTCCAATGTCAACACTTACATCATCCCAACTGTCCAATGTCATCTGTGACATCATCCCAACTGTCCAATGTCAACACTTACATCATCCCAACTGTCCAGTCAACACTTACATCATCCCAACTGTCCAATGTCAACACTTACATCATCCCAACTGTCCAATGTCAACATTTACATCATCCCAACTGTCCAATGTCAACACTTACATCATCCCAACTGTCCAATGTCAACACTTACATCATCCCAACTGTCCAATGTCAACACTTACATCATCCCAACTGTCCAATGTCAACACTTACATCATCCCAACTGTCCAATGTCAACACTTACATCATCCCAACTGTCCAATGTCAACACTTACATCATCCCAACTGTCCAATGTCAACACTTACATCATCCCAACTGTCCAATGTCAACACTTACATCATCCCAACTGTCCAATGTCAACACTTACATCATCCCAACTGTCCAATGTCAACACTTACATCATCCCAACTGTCCAATGTCAACACTTACATCATCCCAACTGTCCAATGTCATCTGTGACATCATCCCAACTGTCCAATGTCAACACTTACATCATCCCAACTGTCCAATGTCAACACTTACATCATCCCAACTGTCCAATGTCAACACTTACATCATCCCAACTGTCCAATGTCAACACTTACATCATCCCAACTGTCCAATGTCAACACTTACATCATCCCAACTGTCCAATGTCAACACTTACATCATCCCAACTGTCCAATGTCATCTGTGACATCATCCCAACTGTCCAATGTCAATACTTACATCATCCCACCTGTCCAATGTCATCACTTACATCATCCCAACTGTCCAATGTCAACACTTACATCATCCCAACTGTCCAATGTCAACACTTACATCATCCCAACTGTCCAATGTCAACACTTACATCATCCCAACTGTCCAATGTCAACACTTACATCATCCCAACTGTCCAATGTCAACACTTACATCATCCCAACTGTCCAATGTCATCTGTGACATCATCCCAACTGTCCAATGTCATCTGTGACATCATCCCAACTGTCCAATGTCAACACTTACATCATCCCAACTGTCCAATGTCAACACTTACATCATCCCAACTGTCCAATGTCAACACTTACATCATCCCAACTGTCCAATGTCAACACTTACATCATCCCAACTGTCCAATGTCAACACTTACATCATCCCAACTGTCCAATGTCAACACTTACATCATCCCAACTGTCCAATGTCAACACTTACATCATCCCAACTGTCCAATGTCAACACTTACATCATCCCAACTGTCCAATGTCAACACTTACATCATCCCAACTGTCCAATGTCAACACTTACATCATCCCAACTGTCCAATGTCATCTGTGACATCATCCCAACTGTCCAATGTCAACACTTACATCATCCCAACTGTCCAGTCAACACTTACATCATCCCAACTGTCCAATGTCAACACTTACATCATCCCAACTGTCCAATGTCAACACTTACATCATCCCAACTGTCCAGTCAACACTTACATCATCCCAACTGTCCAATGTCAACACTTACATCATCCCAACTGTCCAATGTCAACACTTACATCATCCCAACTGTCCAATGTCAACACTTACATCATCCCAACTGTCCAATGTCAACACTTACATCATCCCAACTGTCCAATGTCATCTGTGACATCATCCCAACTGTCCAATGTCATCTGTGACATCATCCCAACTGTCCAATGTCAACACTTACATCATCCTAACTGTCCAATGTCATCTGTGACATCATCCCAACTGTCCAATGTCATCTGTGACATCATCCCAACTGTCCAATGTCAACACTTACATCATCCCAACTGTCCAGTCAACACTTACATCATCCCAACTGTCCAATGTCATCTGTGACATCATCCCAACTGTCCAATGTCAACACTTACATCATCCCAACTGTCCAATGTCAACACTTACATCATCCCAACTGTCCAATGTCAACACTTACATCATCCCAACTGTCCAATGTCATCTGTGACATCATCCCAACTGTCCAATGTCATCTGTGACATCATCCCAACTGTCCAATGTCAACACTTACATCATCCCAACTGTCCAGTCAACACTTACATCATCCCAACTGTCCAATGTCATCTGTGACATCATCCCAACTGTCCAATGTCAACACTTACATCATCCCAACTGTCCAATGTCAACACTTACATCATCCCAACTGTCCAATGTCAACACTTACATCATCCCAACTGTCCAGTCAACACTTACATCATCCCAACTGTCCAATGTCAACACTTACATCATCCCAACTGTCCAATGTCAACACTTACATCATCCCAACTGTCCAATGTCATCTGTGACATCATCCCAACTGTCCAATGTCAACACTTACATCATCCCAACTGTCCAATGTCAACACTTACATCATCCCAACTGTCCAATGTCATCTGTGACATCATCCCAACTGTCCAATGTCAACACTTACATCATCCCAACTGTCCAATGTCAACACTTACATCATCCCAACTGTCCAATGTCAACACTTACATCATCCCAACTGTCCAATGTCAACACTTACATCATCCCAACTGTCCAATGTCAACACTTACATCATCCCAACTGTCCAATGTCAACACTTACATCATCCCAACTGTCCAATGTCATCTGTGACATCATCCCAACTGTCCAATGTCAACACTTACATCATCCCAACTGTTCAATGTCAACACCTTCATCATCCCAACTGTCCAATGTCAACACTTACATCATCCCAACTGTCCAATGTCATCTGTGACATCATCCCAACTGTCCAATGTCAACACTTACATCATCCCAACTGTCCAATGTCAACACTTACATCATCCCAACTGTCCAATGTCAACACTTACATCATCCCAACTGTCCAATGTCATCTGTGACATCATCCCAACTGTCCAATGTCAACACTTACATCATCCCAACTGTCCAATGTCAACACTTACATCATCCCAACTGTCCAATGTCAACACTTACATCATCCCAACTGTCCAATGTCATCTGTGACATCATCCCAACTGTCCAATGTCAACACTTACATCATCCCAACTGTTCAATGTCAACACCTTCATCATCCCAACTGTCCAATGTCAACACTTACATCATCCCAACTGTCCAATGTCATCTGTGACATCATCCCAACTGTCCAATGTCAACACTTACATCATCCCAACTGTCCAATGTCAACACTTACATCATCCCAACTGTCCAGTCAACACTTACATCATCCCAACTGTCTAATGTCAACACTTACATCATCCCAACTGTCCAATGTCATCACTTACATCATCCCAACTGTCCAATGTCAACACCTTCATCATCCCAACTGTCCAATGTCAACACTTACATCATCCCAACTGTCCAATGTCATCTGTGACATCATCCCAACTGTCCAATGTCAACACTTACATCATCCCAACTGTCCAATGTCAACACTTACATCATCCCAACTGTCCAGTCAACACTTACATCATCCCAACTGTCTAATGTCAACACTTACATCATCCCAACTGTCCAATGTCAACACTTACATCATCCCAACTGTCCAATGTCATCTGTGACATCATCCCAACTGTCCAATGTCAACACTTACATCATCCCAACTGTCCAATGTCAACACTTACATCATCCCAACTGTCCAATGTCATCTGTGACATCATCCCAACTGTCCAATGTCAACACTTACATCATCCCAACTGTCCAATGTCAACACTTACATCATCCCAACTGTCCAATGTCAACACTTACATCATCCCAACTGTCCAATGTCAACACTTACATCATCCCAACTGTCCAATGTCAACACTTACATCATCCCAACTGTCCAGTCAACACTTACATCATCCCAACTGTCCAATGTCATCTGTGACATCATCCCAACTGTCCAGTCAACACTTACATCATCCCAACTGTCCAATGTCATCTGTGACATCATCCCAACTGTCCAATGTCAACACTTACATCATCCCAACTGTCCAGTCAACAATTACATCATCCCAACTGTCCAATGTCAACAATTACATCATCACAAATGTCCAATGTCAACACTTACATCATCCTAACTGTCCAATGTCAACAATTACATCATCTCAAATGTCCAATGTCAACACTTACATCATCACAAATGTCCAATGTCAACACTTACATCATCCCAACTGTTCGATGTCAACATTTACATCATCCCAACTGTTCAATCTCATCTTTTAAACCATCACATCTGTCAAAATACTACCTCGTTTTCCTATAAGAATTAATAACCCATTAATAAATGCTTACTACTGTTTGAATATAACACTTATTCTCCTACTGTATAGGACCTTACAACTGTTTGAATATAACGTGTATTCTCCTACTGTACAGGAACATTTACCGACTGAACCGTGACGGCACGAATCACGTGATGGCTGGTCCAGACACCTTTCAAAAAATTAACGGCGTGTTCGCTTACCAGTCGAGTTTTTCCTGATGGCCGATGTTTCTTTGAATTCTTTCGGTATTAAATGTATTAATGCAATTGATTTAAATAGAGTTGCTTTTATTGTGATGGCTGTACTTGAAAGGAAGAAATTAAGGCAAGTTTAGAAAGATTACCAAAAAATGTAAGGGTTTGTGTAAGGGCGTCATCAGTAGATGTTAGCACCAGTGAAACAGATGCGTGCGTGCGATCATTAACAAAACAGAGATCACAAGAATCTGACATAAACTAGCTGGGACATGTTTACAACTGGCGACACTCTGGTACAACATTCACAAAACAGAGAACATTAGAATCTGACATAAACTAGCTGGGACATGTTTAGTTACAGGACATACAACTGGCGACACTCTCTCGTACAATATTCACAAAAAGGTATTCAAATCTGAGCTTTAAAAATGAGAAGTTTCATTTAGTTTTTGTTTTAAACAACTTTTCTGTTGAAACTGAAACAATACTTTCTCCATACTCTGTATACGAGAAAGTAAAAAATTAAAGTAAAAATACAAAATGAACAACAGGGAATCTCTACTTGGACAACAAAGGAATCAGAAGTGTTATCAGATACTATTTGTTGCAGTACGGTCGGCTGGATTGGCATATTATTTTGCACTTTATTTTCTGTCAAACCCTAACAGTAACCTTACCTAACCCTAACTCGTATTTCAATTTCAGCAACTCAAAGCAATTTTCTTTAAAATTAATTGAAATGCTCTTACACCGTCCCAGCCTCCAAAATACCACCGCTGTTGTTTTTACTTTCACGTATACAGAGTATAGAGAAAGTATTGTAAATGTGCACAACAATCACATGAAATTTTAATAGTTTTAGCGTTTTACACCTCAGTAATTTATCGTATATGAATATAAAGGATGTATTATAATCGTGCAAAAATCGTAATCGAGATTTTGACAAATTTTGAACGTTTTACAACCTCCCGGTGCCGAAAAAAACTTTAACAATCCTGTCCACCTTTGTGTGTATGTATGAAAACATAACTTGAGTGACGTTTCAGTAAGGTTGACTAAAGTTAATGTACAAATAAATAATTTTCTCTCAACGGTTGAGGGATTTTCGGTACACAGAAGTGGCATTTGTTTCATTCGCAAAGGCTCGTACACACAACTTTCTCCCCTTCCATAACACTTGGGGACGGTACAGGTTACTGCGTACACACAACATGCAACCCTTCCATAACACTAGGGAAGGGTTACTGCTTACACACAACTTTCACCCCTTCCATTACACTAGGGACGGTACAGGTTACTGCGTACACACAACATTCACCCCTTCCATAACACTAGGGGACGGTACAGGTTACTACGTACACACAACTTTCACCCCTTCCATAACACTAGGGACGGTACAGGTTACTGCGTACACACAACTTTCACCCCTTCCCTAACACTAGGGAAGGGTTACTGCGTACACACAATTTTCACCCCTTCCATAACACTAGGGGACGGTACAGGTTACTGCGTACACACAACATTCACCCCTTCCATAACACTAGGGGACGGTACAGGTTACTGCGTACACACAACTTTCACCCCTTCCATAACACTAGGGACGGTACAGGTTACTGCGTACACACAACTTTCAACCCTTCCATAACAGTAGGGACGGTACAGGTTACTGCGTACACACAACTTTCAACCCTTCCATAACACTAGGGACGGTACAGGTTACTGCGTACACACAACTTTCAACCCTTCCATAACACTTGGGTCGGTACAGGTTACTGCGTACACACAACTTTCACCCCTTCCATAACACTAGGGGACGGTACAGGTTACTGCGTACACACAACATGCAACCCTTCCATAACACTAGGAAAGGGTTACTGCGTACACACAACTTTCTCCCCTTCCATAACACTAGAAGACGGTATAGGTTACTGCGTACACACAACTTTCACCCCTTCCATAACACTTGGGGACGGTACAGGTTACTGCGTACACACAACTTTCACCCCTTCCATAACACTAGGGACGGTACAGTTTACTGCGTACAGACAACATTCACCCCTTCCATAACACTAGGGGACGGTACAGGTTACTGCGTACACACAACTTTCAACCCTTCCATAACACTAGGGGACGGGAAGATTACTGCGTACACACAACTTTCAACCCTTCCATAACACTAGGGAAGGGTTACTGCGTACACACAACTTTCACCCCTTCCATAACACTAGGGGACGGTACAGGTTACTGCGTACACACAACTTTCAACCCTTCCATAACACTAGGGACGGTACAGGTTACTGCGTAAACACAACTTTCACCCCTTCCATAACACTAGGGGACGGTACAGGTTACTGCGTTCACAACTTTCACCCCTTCCATAACACTAGGGACGGTACAGGTTACTACGTACACACAACTTTCACCCCTTCCATAACACTAGGGACGGTACAGGTTACTGCGTACACACAACTTTCACCCCTTCCATAACACTAGGGACGGTACAGGTTACTGCGTACACACAACATTCAACCCTTCCATAACACTAGGGACGGTACAGGTTACTGCGTACACACAACTTTCAACCCTTCCATAACACTAGGGACGGTACAGGTTACTGCGTACACACAACATTCACCCCTTCCATAACACTAGGGACGGTACAGGTTACGGCGTACACACAACATTCACCCCTTCCATAACACTAGGGGATGGTACAGGTTACTGCGTACACACAACATTCAACCCTTCCATAACACTAGGGGATGGTACAGGTTACTGCGTACACACAACATTCAACCCTTCCATAACACTAGGGGACGGGACAGGTTACTGCGTACACACAACATTCAACCCTTCCATAACACTAGGGACGGTACAGGTTACTGCGTACACACAACATTCAACCCTTCCATAACACTAGGGGACGGGACAGGTTACTGCGTACACACAACATTCAACCCTTCCATAACACTAGGGTTCGGGACAGGTTACTGCGTACACACAACATTCAACCCTTCCATAACACTAGGGGACGGGACAGGTTACTGCGTACACACAACATTCAACCCTTCCATAACACTAGGGACGGTACAGGTTACTGCGTACACACAACATTCAACCCTTCCATAACACTAGGGACGGTACAGGTTACTGCGTACACACAACATTCAACCCTTCCATAACACTAGGGACGGTACAGGTTACTGCGTACATACAACATTCAACCCTTCCATAACACTAGGGACGGTACAGGTTACTGCGTACACACAACATTCAACCCTTCCATAACACTAGGGACGGTACAGGTTACTGCGTACATACAACATTCAACCCTTCCATAACACTAGGGACGGTACAGGTTACTGCGTACACACAACATTCAACCCTTCCATAACACTAGGGACGGTACAGGTTACTGCGTACACACAACATTCAACCCTTCCATAACACTAGGGACGGTACAGGTTACTGCGTACACACAACATTCAACCCTTCCATAACACTAGGGACGGTACAGGTTACTGCGTACATACAACATTCAACCCTTCCATAACACTAGGGACGGTACAGGTTACTGCGTACACACAACATTCAACCCTTCCATAACACTAGGGACGGTACAGGTTACTGCGTACATACAACATTCAACCCTTTTATCCTCTACACTCATTCACGACTCTGAGCTCATCAAGCTGTTGCTAGATTGCAAACTCATGGTGTAGGACACTGAGATACACAATTCAGACAAGAAGTTGGAGATAATGTACGCATATATGCCGGGTGTATTGACAGAGCTTTCTACAAGCTAAGAATGATCATAGTGTTCCCAAACAACTGCATTACAGAAATGAATGATCTATTCTGCAAGAAAAACTGCTCACACTGACGACAGTGGGCACTGAAGGCCAAGGCTACACTTGCTGCTGTAGCACTCACTGGTAATGTAAAAATAACAACTCACTCTACAATTCTAAATGTCATGGAAGTTCATATTCTTGTAACACATTATAATATAGATTTAGTATATACATTTAGTATTGAAAATTAATGTGATTGTTTTTGTCATTTACTTCAACTAATTCAGACTTTGGCCCGTGTCCCCTAGCCAGTTCATGATCTGGCTGGTCAGTGTCCGAAATCAGGAAAAATGTACGGACTTTGGCCGGTTAATGTTAGAATATAGATACTGGCCGTAGCGCCTGCTGACAGGCCAATGCCCGCGTTGTCCGACTTTAGGCTTTGACACACACGCACAAACACGCACAAACACACATGCATATATATATATATATATATATATATATATATATATATATATATATATATATATATATATATATGTTATACATGTATATAGTATATATGTATATATATTTGTGAGAACGCAGAATCCCCCGTGAACAAAATAACATTAATTCACTAATGCATTCACTAATGTGAAACGAATTCCTTTTACAGGTTGTATTTATTTACCTGTCAATAAGTTGTCATTAACTTTTACTTTTTAGCTGACATGCAGACTATAAACACTGAGTTACAGTTAGGAAATTGTCGACTGATAAGACAAGTGTGGAAACCTCGTTCATACAACTAATCTTCAACTAAGTGTGTCGTTAAGTCTTTTCTGTGTAAAAGTTATACACATAGTATAGATTTAGCTGTATAAAGCTGGATTCATTAACACAAGTCAGTTAAAGATTTGGTGACGAAAATGATTTCGGCATGTAAGTGTTATAAACTAACTTTTATCAGTAATTAGTTTTAATGTGTGTAGAATCATGTGATTGATGCACGTGCGAGTGGTTGGGGGTAGATTTGTTTGGACTACAGACTGTGATGGCGGACAGGAAAACTCATTAGACTAAAGACATTTAATATTGACCGACCGACAGCAGGAGATGAGGGATTTTCTGACCTCTGAACTCTGCCAGCTGAGTATAATGTTTGTATTTCACACACCTACACGATAGAGGCACCGCGGTAGTCAACGATATAACCAGAACGGCAACAATGTGAATAGATATAGTAAAAGTCAACAACAAACGGTTGATTTATGGGATATCTTAAGAAGCTTTTTTTAAAATTAAAGTTAGCAGCAGAAGTAGCATGGTTTAATAAAAGGTAGCAAGTATATAACAATTTTCTTTTCTAAAACTAGAGCCACATCTAGTTACTTAAGAAACCACATTCAAAACTGGATCGTAATGGAAAACAAAATGTATGTATAGGACTGTATTAGAAAAAGATTTAATCGTTAGAAAACTTTGTGTCAACATCTTTGTGACCAACATTATAAACTATACATATTATACAGAAATGACACTATACATATTATACAGAAATGACACTATACATCAGAGGTCTCCAAACTTTTCACCCCGAGGGCCGCACTAACTATCAAATATAAGTTCGGGGGCCAGAGTTTCTTCCAGGCATCTTATTAGGGTGGCATTTTTCCGCAGACACCTACAACAAACATTTTTTTCGTGGACAAAAAGATCTCCGAGGGCCGGATGAGAGGACCTCGCGGGCCGCATTCGGCCCGCGGGCCGTAGTTTGGAGACCCCTGCTATACATGATACATAGAAATGACACTATACATATTACACAGAAATGACACTATACATGATACATAGAAATGACACTATACATATTACACAGAAATGACACTATACATGATACATGGAAATAACACTATACGTGACACTTAGCATGGTTTAACGTCTAGAACATTAGCAGGTGATCCACTAGAAGCATCTATGGGAGTCACGTGGTTATAGACGTTACACGTATACTGGGAATGGTAGAGAATGGCACTAAAATGACATTTAAATATTTAAAAACACATTTTCTTCTAAATTTTCTGAACATTTTTATGATGTGAAATGTTTTTATATTTCAGTTTTTCTGGTCCTTGTGTCAACTGTTCTATGGGAAGGTAAGAGACATCTTTTACCAACCATCGTACAGATAACAAACTCGGGATGTTTCTAGACTTACATTTAAGCTCACTTGTAAACAGTGCTCAGTGCAATAGATTGTAGGAGATTGTAGAAGATTGTAGAAGATTGTACGAGATTGTAGAAGATTGTAGAAGATTGTACGAGATTGTAGAAGATTGTAGAAGATTGTACGAGATTGTAGAAGATTATAGAAGAATGTCTAAGATTATAGAATTTGTAGAAGATTGCCGAAGATTGAACGAGATTGTCTGAGATTGTATGAGATTGTAGGAGATTGTACTTTTGTCAATTTATTAATGTCGTAAAGTGTTTGCATGGCCGTGTCATCTCAACCTATTGAAACCACCATATCCTCCCATTGATGAAGTTAATATTTTCTCGGTGTACCATTCTTAGAACAAACATTGGTGCATAATGTCAGCTTACACCAACAAAACACAAATAGATTAGAAGCCCAAATGGTCGGCTAGGACTTATTGTACTTGATGTTTTGTTGTAAATGGAATTTGAAATATCAATTGTATATATTTTGTTATAAGTATAAAATTATATATATATATATATATATATATATATATATATATATATATATATATATATATATATATATATATATATATATTTAAATTTATAATTCTAACTGAAGGTAAAACGTACGTAACTTGACGTAACACCTTCTGTAACTGAAGGTAAAACGTATGTAACTTGACGTACCACCTACTCTAACTGGACGTAAAACGTACGTAACTTGACGTACCACCTACTTTAACTGAAAGTAAAACGTATGTAACTTGACGTAACACCTACTGTACTCCTCAGTTTCTGCACTCAGCTGCTACAAATGTGCATCCATCAACGACCCGGCTAGCTGCACCACTACAGCCCAATGTGCAGGGGACGAGGTCAGTGAGGGCAAATTTTCAAACGTTTTCACAATTTTTCCAGGGTGTCTCCCCCTCACCCCCCCCCCCCTACAACCATACATATTTTGGTGTTAGCTCCCCTCTACTTCCATATATTTTCTTCATGTGAACACCAAATTTTTTGTTAGTTGCGATGTTTTTAAATTGCCATCAATTCATATAAATGGTGTCAGCCACTTCACCTCTGCCGTGTCTTTGCTGGTGACGACCGTTGACGTCTTGTTGGTTAAAAACAATCATAGATGTTTTACGCATACAATCATTTGGATGATTTATTTGCTAATGTAGCTGATTGTCCGTTTTATTTCGTATGGTAAGGCTAAGGTTTTATAATTTATAACAAATTAGAAGAATCGAATGTTTAAAACGTCACTGACATTGGTTACACCATTGACTTACTTGATTTAGTCCTCTTTGCTCCTTATGGAACATAGGGCCTCCACCATTTCTTTCCATTTCTTCCTATCCCCGGCTATTAATTTTGTCATCTCCCAAGACATCCCTGTTGGCTTCAGTTCTTTGAGAAGACTCCAGGTCTGTCTTGGGCGCCCTCTCTTCCACTTTCCCTGGGGGGTTCCACTCAAGCGCTTGATTACAAGATTGCTGAGTTCCAATCTTTCACCAGGCGTGTTTCACAGAGAGAAGGCTGAGCGGTTCACTCACGGAGTACTTCAATATGGGCTGTGAGAAGCAGATGGTGAGTACACTAGAGAGTTGATGGCAACCAGGTACGGCATCTGTACATGTGTACGTCTTATGTGTTAAATACATGTGTACGTCTGGTGGGTCGTTACATCTGTACGTCTGGTGGGTCGGTTCGTGTGTACGGCTGATATATTAAATACATGTGTACGACTAGCACAGTTTGATTATACATACAAGAACACAAATTAGATTTCAGCAAATTCGTTTTCAGTAGAAAGGAGAACCTTCTTCTTGAATGCGGGGTTCTAAAATATATTTGTACAGGTATGTGACGTCATAGGTAGTGACGTCATCATTGGCAGGAAAAGAAACCTCAAGACGTCACCGCTGGTTGACAGGAACAAACGTGACGTCACGCTATGCAACAAGTGCTGCTCTACAGACAACTGTAACCAAAATATTTGCTCGGACGTAGGTCAGTTGTTAAAAGACAAGGTCAGTTGTTATAAGGCACGGTTAGTTGTTATAAGACAACTTATGTGACCGGTCAGTTGTTATAAGACAAGGTCAGTTGTTATAAGACACGGTTAGTTGTTATGAGACAACTTATGTGACCGGTCAGTTGTTATAAGACAAGGTCAGTTGTTATAAGACACGGTTAGTTGTTATGAGACAACTTATGTGACCGGTCAGTTGTTATAAGACAAGGTCAGTTGTTATAAGACAAGGTTAGTTGTTATGAGACAATTTATGTGACAAGTCAGTTGAAATAAGACAAAGTCAGTTGTTATAAGACAAAGTCAGTTGTTATAAGACAAGGTCAGTTGTTATAAGACAAGGTCAGTTGTTATAAGACAAGGTCAGTTGTTATAAGACAAGGTCAGTTGTTATAAGACAATCTACATGACAGGTCAGTTGTTAAAAGCTCTAGTCTGTACAATCTGTTCATATATCTATATCCTGCCCACATGTCTATTTACCTGTTAACTTGACGGTTCCAGAGATCACCCCCACCGTGGGGATCCCCTCAACCTCTGATATCTATGTCCGGCTGGTCAGTGGCACCAACGCCTATGAGGGTACGGTGGAGGTGTTCTTCAACGGGAGGTGGGGGAGTATCTGTGACGACAACTGGACGACCAACGACGCGAAGGTTGTCTGCAACATGCTGGGTTACCAGGGGTAAGTGGTGACATGAGACACAATATGACACAAGTGGTGACACAAGACACAATATGACACAAATGGTGACACAAGACACGATATGACACAAGTGGTGACACAAGACACAATATGACACAAATGGTGACACAAGACACGATATGACACAAGTGGTGACACAAGACACAATATGACACAAATGGTGACACAAGACACGATATGACACAAGTGGTGACACAAGACACAATATGACACAAATGGTGACACAAGACACGATATGACACAAGTGGTGACACAAGACACAATATGACACAAGTGGTGACACAAGACACAATATGACACAAGTGGTGACACAGGACACAATATGACACAAGTGGTGACACAAGACACAATATGACACAAATGGTGACACAAGACACGATATGACACAAGTGGTGACACAAGACACAATATGACACAAGTGGTGACACAGGACACAATATGACACAAGTGGTGACATGAGACACAATATGACACAAGTGGTGACACAAGACACAATATGACACAAGTGGTGACACAAGACACAATATGACACAAATGGTGACACAAGACACGATATGACACAAGTGGTGACACAAGACACAATATGACACAAGTGGTGACACAGGACACAATATGACACAAGTGGTGACACAGGACACAATATACCATGTTGTGGTTGTGATTCAATATACAATTTACCATTAACTAAATACTTAAAATAGTTCAATCGCAATTTGCTTACACGATAGTTTAAGTCATATCTAAAATTATTTTTCAAACGTCTAATATTTTCATACCCAAGGTATACAAAACGCTATGTTTGTGTAAAATTACACATTATTAAAAGTCAGTCTTAAGTACGCAGCTACATTACTGAATACTGATACATTATTTTCCAACAAATATTGAATTCAGTTTACTTTTATTTGAGCGTGATCCCAATTAAGAAACACGAGCAAATTAACCCCTGCTTGTTTTGTTTCGTCTAATCTCCAGCTTTCACTTAAAATATATCAATTCAACACATTGTAATCAATGTTTATTTTTGTGTTTTTTTTGTGTAGAAATAAAATGTAAAGATATTGCAGAATTTGCATGTTTATGTAAAAGTGTTTTGTAATACTAATAACGACCATAAAGTTTAAAATGTCCCCTTAGAAATGGAGCTACGGCCATCGGTGGGGGAGCTTTCTACCCTGGCCAGAACAATATTTGGCTGACCAACGTGACGTGCCAGGGGACAGAACCCAGCCTGTACCAGTGCTCTCACGGCCAGTGGGGCGTGACCAGCTGTCTCCACCAGCAGGACGCGGGGGTCATGTGCTCGTCTGGTCAGTTCAACACTCACAGGCTGGTTTAACACAGTTACACACTCACAGGCTGGTTTAACACAGTTACACCATCATAGGCTGGTTTAACACAGTTACACACTCACAGGCTGGTTTAACACAGTAACACCATCACAGGCTGGTTTAACACAGTTACACACTCACAGGCTGGTTTAACACAGTTACACCATCATAGGCTGGTTTAACACAGTTACACACTCACAGGCTGGTTTAACACAGTAACACCATCACAGGCTGGTTTAACACAGTTACACCCTCACAGGCTGGTTTAACACAGTTACACCTTCACAGGCTGGTTTAACACAGTTACACATTCACAGGCTGGTTTAACACAGTTACACACTCACAGGCTGGTTTAACACAGTTACACACTCACAGGCTGGTTTAACACAGTTACACCCTCACAGGCTGGTTTAACACAGTTACACCTTCACAGGCTGGTTTAACATAGCTGCACCATCACAGGCTGGTTTAACACAGTTACACCTTCACAGGCTGGTTTAACACAGTTACACCCTCACAGACCGGTTGAGCACACTTGAACCTTGTCACACACAAACCTTCCCATAATACATTCAGTTAAACCTTGTCATGACACAAACCTTCATATCACACCTATGGTACCCACACATTTCTGTACATTGTGTTTTACAGTGACACCAGAAGATGACGTCATATTTCTGCTGGACACCGGGTTTGGTGGGATGATATTCCGCATGAACCTGAGGAGCCAGTCCTTCACCCCCATCCCAATCAGCCAGAACTACGCCCCTGTCAGCTTCGACTACGACCCGAGTCTGGGGCGGATCTACTTTGTGGACGGTCGTCTGCTACAGATCACCAGCATGAAGTATGACGGCACGGACATCAGGAACTTGATGCAGCTCGATAGGAGTAGGTCACAGACATACAGACATACATACATGCAGACAAATAGACAAACATGAAGATATACATACACACAGAAATACATACATGCAGACAAATAGACAAGCATGAAGATATACGTACATACAGACATACAAACAACTGAACAGGGGTAGGCCATTCACAGACATGCAAACATACATATATATATATATATATATATATATATATATATATATATATATATATATATATATATATATATATATATAGACAGACATAAAAAGGGTATAAAACAGGTATAAAACAAATATGAAAGACATAATAGCAAAATAAAAACAAACAAATATACAGAATTGGATATGAGCATGCCCTGTTACCACAGTGGTCAAATCATTCTGACTTAATCTCGTCCGTCTATGAATCTGTCTCACAACATCCACCAATCTATCATCCACCAACATCCACCAATGTTTCATCCACCACCACCCCACCCCACAGACTCCCAGCCAGACAAGCTACAGTTGGACCCCCTCAACAGACGACTCTTCTACACCGACGACGGCAACAACATCATCGCCTCCCTCAACCTAGACGGCTCGGACTACAAGAAGGTCATCACCACCAACCTTGACAACCCCAGGGGCATCGTCCTCGACCCTAGGTCAAGGTCTGTCAATGCTGCTCTTATTTATAGCATATAATAGTCATTTGCTGAGCATTCGTTGACCGTAAATACATTTGACCACAATGTTTCATCCATTATTTAAGAAAAAAAAGTTAATACATACGCCAATGAAATTTTCCGTTAAAAATATTCCTTATCACATTTAGAGCTTTCAAGTAACACAACTGAATGACAATTGACTATAGCTGGTCATCTGTAGTCTACCAGGTACATCCGTTTCCTTCCCTCCACAGGACCATGTACTGGACAGACTGGGGGGCGTCTCCCAAGATAGAGTCGGCCAACTATGACGGAACTAACAGAGTAACTCTCGTGGGTTCAAACCTCAAGTGGCCGAATGGATTGGCTATTGATTATAACGGTAAGCTTTGGCAGTAGACTGTTGTCCTATTGCCTTGATTAGTTAGCAGAGTACTTCTGTAGAGATAGGACTGAGACTGTAAGCTTTGACAGTAGACTATGGCTTTTGTTTAGTTAGCAGAGTACTTTTGTAGAGATAGGACACTTGAGAATGTAACTAACCAACTGTTGATCTGTTGTAGCCAACAAACTCTATTTTGTGGACGGCGGGCTGGGGACGATTGAGACCATCACCCTACAGGGCACCAGCAGACGAGAGATTCTCAAAGACCCGGGCTCACACTTCTTCTCCATCGATGTCTTTGGCGACTATCTCTACTACACGGACTGGAACAGAGAGTAAGCTTTTGATCATCTTCTCTACTCTCTCTCTTCCTCTTTATCTCCTCTCTCTCTCTCTCTCTCTCTCTCTCTTTATCTCCTCTCTCCCCCTCTCTCGTATACGCCATTGTCTGCAATGTTAGCCAGCAGACTGTTACCCGCCTAAATGCCACGAGACTAATTAAAACACCAATAATTAAAACACCAATAATTAATACACCAATAATTAAAACACCAATAATTAATACACCAATAATTAAAACACCAATAATTAAACCACCAATAATTAAAACACCAATAATTAAAACACCAATAATTAATACACCAATAATTAAAACACCAATAATTAATACACCAATAATTAAAACACCAATAATTAAAACACCAATAATTAAACCACCGGACTGGGGTGTCAACTCCGTATGGAGCTGAAGCTGATCATCTTGTGATGTCTGGGTATAAATACAACAACAATAAATGGATGTCATCAGAAGAACTATTTGATGGGTGTAAATAAAACAAACATTGATTGCAGCTGTTCCTTTTAACCCAGGGGGTCTCCAAACTACGGCCCGCGGGCCAAATGCGGCCCGCAAGGTCCTCTCATCCGGCCCGCGGAGATCTTTTTGTTCACGGAAAAAAATGTTTGTTACAGGTGGCTAAGAAACTTTGCCCAGAAAATTCAAAACAATTTGATAATATAGCTTTAGGTGCAAATACCATTGCCCTCCGTGTTGCAGACATTGATGAAAACATTGTGACTCAAATAGTGAAAACTGCTAACAAGTTTTGCCACTTTTCTATTGCAATGGATGAGTCACTGGACAGCTGTTCCATGTTTTTGGAACAAGTACAGGACAACAACTTGATGCATTTCCAGCAGTGCAAGGTCTTCATGGCTGAAGCAACAGCTATGTTCCCCACATCATTTGCATGCGAGATCATTAAAGACCTCCAGCTGCAGTTTCAGTAAGTTTTCTGACTAGGATTCAAAGGCAGAAGAAGTGAGACTGTTTCAAACCCCAATTGAAGCAAATGTAACCAGTTGCTCAGATGAACTGCCGATGGAGGTCATTGAATTTCAAACAAATGACCTCCTTAGAGATAAGTTCAAAAATGGCGGGTGGGTTTTTATGTTTGCCCAAGGAGAACAAACTTGGACCTCGAGTGGGTTGTCGGCCAACAACTGTGTTTCTTTCAGACTTTTTCTCCTGGGGGGTGGAATTTTAAATGTGTATATATTTCTATATAAATTATATTTCGTTGGGGGGGGGGGGGGGGGGGGACGGACGGACTCCGCCACCTCAAAGAGATTCATGAAAGAAACTCTGGCCACCGAACTTTAACCTGATGAACCTTTTACTTCAGTACTTTGATGAGGGTCAACAAAGTTTAACCTGATGAACCTTTTACTTCAGTACTTTGATGAGGGTCAACAAAGTTTAACCTGATGAACCTTTTACTTCAGTACATTGATGAGGGTCAACAAAGTTTAACCTGATGAACCTTTTACTTCAGTACATTGATGAGGGTCAACAAAGTTTAACCTGATGAACCTTTTACTTCAGTACATTGATGAGGGTCAACAAAGTTTAACCTGATGAACCTTTTACTTCAGTACATTGATGAGGGTCAACAAAGTTTAACCTGATGAACCTTTTACTTCAGTACTTTGATGAGGGTCAACAAAGTTTAACCTGATGAACCTTTTACTTTAGTACTTTGATGAGGGTCAACAAAGTTTAACCTGATGAACCTTTTACTTCAGTACTTTGATGAGGGTCAACAAAGTTTAACCTGATGAACCTTTTACTTCAGTACTTTGATGAGGGTCAACACAGTTTAACCTGATGAACCTTTTACTTCAGTACATTGATGAGGGTCAACAAAGTTTAACCTGATGAACCTTTTACTTCAGTACTTTGATGAGGGTCAACAAAGTTTAACCTGATGAACCTTTTACTTTAGTACTTTGATGAGGGTCAACAAAGTTTAACCTGATGAACCTTTTACTTCAGTACTTTGATGAGGGTCAACACAGTTTAACCTGATGAACCTTTTACTTCAGTACATTGATGAGGGTCAACAAAGTTTAACCTGATGAACCTTTTACTTCAGTACATTGATGAGGGTCAACAAAGTTTAACCTGATGAACCTTTTACTTCAGTACATTGATGAGGGTCAACAAAGTTTAACCTGATGAACCTTTTACTTCAGTACATTGATGAGGGTCAACAAAGTTTAACCTGATGAACCTTTTACTTCAGTACTTTGATGAGGGTCAACAAAGTTTAACCTGATGAACCTTTTACTTTAGTACTTTGATGAGGGTCAACAAAGTTTAACCTGATGAACCTTTTACTTCAGTACTTTGATGAGGGTCAACAAAGTTTAACCTGATGAACCTTTTACTTCAGTACTTTGATGAGGGTCAACACAGTTTAACCTGATGAACCTTTTACTTCAGTACATTGATGAGGGTCAACAAAGTTTAACCTGATGAACCTTTTACTTCAGTACTTTGATGAGGGTCAACAAAGTTTAACCTGATGAACCTTTTACTTTAGTACTTTGATGAGGGTCAACAAAGTTTAACCTGATGAACCTTTTACTTCAGTACTTTGATGAGGGTCAACAAAGACGGCACAGGACAGACGGTAGTTGGTCCACCTAGCTTCAAGGAGTTGTCAGACATCAGGGTTCATAAATACGGGACAGACTTGCCAGGTAGGTTAGTGTATAGCTGATTAGCCAGATAAGCCATTATGCTTTTGTTTTCAGTCGCTTCTGATTCGCAAAGTAATTTCCTTTGACTGTAAACGTTATAATGTGGAATGATTTGCTATGTAAAAAAAAAAAAAAATTACGTAATTTTCTAGAAAAGACTCTAAAAAAAATTTACTGTTTGACATTGTAGTTTAAAACTATTTACCTGTTACCATGGCACCAGGTGTGACAACGCCCTCTCCAGTACACTTTGACCCCAGTCACGTGTTTGTCCGTATGGGTGGTCTGGGTGACGCCACCACTGGTCGGGTGGAGATTTTCGCCAACAGCCAGTGGGGCACCATCTGTGACGACCACTGGGACGACAACGACGCCAAGGTCGTCTGTCGTATGATGGGCTTTGATGGGTAGGTGGTTTGTTGGATGGTTTGTTGGATGGTTTGTTGGATGGTTTGTTGGATGGTTTGTTGGATGGTTTGTTGGATGGTTTGTTGGATGGTTTGTTGGATGGTTTGTTGGATGGTTTGTTGGATGGTTTGTTGGATGGTTTGTTGGATGGTTTGTTGGATGGTTTGTTGGATGGTTTGTTGGATGGTTTGTTGGATGGTTTGTTGGATGGTTTGTTGGATGGTTTGTTGGATGGTTTGTTGGATGGTTTGTTGGATGGTTTGGTTTGTTGGATGGTTTGTTGGATGTTTTGCTGGATGGTTTGTTGGGTGGTTTGTTGGATGGTTTGTTGGATGGTTTGTTGGATGGTTTGTTGGATGGTTTGTTGGGTGGTTTGTTGGATGGTTTGTTGGATGGTTTGTTGGATAGTTTGTTGGATGATTTGTTGGATGGTTTGTTGAATGGTTTGTTGGATGTTTTCTTGGATGTTTTCTTGGATGTTTTCTTGGATGTTTTGTTGGATGGTTTGTTGGATGGTTTGTTGGATGGTTTGTTGGATGGTTTGTTGGATGGTTTGTTGGATGGTTTGTTGGATGGTTTGTTGGATGGTTTGTTGGATGGTTTGTTGGATGGTTTGTTGGATGGTTTGTTGGATGGTTTGTTGGATGGTTTGTTGGATGGTTTGTTGGATGGTTTGTTGGATGGTTTGTTGGATGGTTTGTTGGATGGTTTGTTGGATGGTTTGGTTTGTTGGATGGTTTGTTGGATGTTTTGCTGGATGGTTTGTTGGGTGGTTTGTTGGATGGTTTGTTGGATGGTTTGTTGGATGGTTTGTTGGATGGTTTGTTGGGTGGTTTGTTGGATGGTTTGTTGGATGGTTTGTTGGATAGTTTGTTGGATGATTTGTTGGATGGTTTGTTGAATGGTTTGTTGGATGTTTTCTTGGATGTTTTCTTGGATGTTTTCTTGGATGTTTTGTTGGATGGTTTGTTGGTTTGTTGGATGGTTCGTTGGATGGTTTGTTGGATGGTTTGTTGGATGGTTTGTTGGATGGTTTGTTGGATGGTTTGTTGAATGGTTTGTTGGATGTTTTCTTGGATGTTTTCTTGGATGTTTTCTTGGATGTTTTGTTGGATGGTTTGTTGGTTTGTTGGATGGTTTGTTGGATGGTTTGTTGAATGGATCGTTGGATGGTTTGTTGGATGGTTCATTGTTGGATGATTAGTGGGATGGTTCTCAAAGTCCCTCAATCACTTCCTCACTTCAAATGTAACTTTAAGTTGAATCCAAGTGAGCAGTTTAAAACTTATTACATAAATAAAACTTCAGAATGTTTGAGTTTTGCTAGGGTCGATGTGAAACCTATTAGCATAATACCTCGTGCTAATGAAGCGTATTTTTGGTTGGATGACAGCACCAATGCCAAGGCCACTAGCCAGAGTAGCCAAGGTAACGGGTTCGGTATGATCTCACTTGACGAGGTCAACTGCACGGGCACAGAGAAGCACATCGTGGAGTGTGGGTTCGGACCCGACAACTGGGGCGTACATGACTGCACTCACACAGAGGACGCTGGGGCTATCTGTGAGCCGCCATTGCAGCTCGGATTTCAAGGTACGGTGTGGGGGGGGGGGGGGTGCTGGAGGTGGAGGATTGAGGGTGTTGTGTTTGTTGTGGTAGAAGATGGTGGGATAGGGGTGGGGAACTTGGGCAGGGGATGGTGGATTGCAAATGGAGGATTGTGATTGGAGGATTGTGGGGTGGTGGATGGTAGGGTGGGGGTAGAAGATGGTGGGGATATATGATGGTGGGATAGGGTGGGGGATGGTGGGGGTTGAAAATTGCAGGTGGAGGATTGTGGGGGTGTGGGATAGTGGGGGTGGAAGATGGGGTGATGTAGGATGTTGGAAGAGCGAGGTTATTGTTAAGTGCAAATTTTGCTACCGTAAAAAGAAGATAGTCCTATGCTTATCTTATTTTAAATCCTGACATTTGTCGTCCTCTGTACAGACAGCGACATCGACAACTTCCTCGTGTTCTGTGATGTTTACACTGGGCTGTTGGTACGAATGGACCTCAACACTTACAGGTGAGAAGCAGTGGCGTAGCTAGGATTTTTGGGCCCCTATGCAAAAAGTGTTAGTGGGCCCCTTCCCGGCGACCGGGGATTTGCACCCCCCCCCTCAGACTTTCGATTTGCACCCCCCTCTCAACCTTTCGAAAAAGGGCCCCTATTTGCCTTGGGCCCCAATGCCTTGCTTACGCTAGCTTTACGGTAGCTACGCCACTGGTGAGAAGTTGTTTAAAAAAATGTTGGGATGTTTTACAGTGCAAGCTGGGCATGTTTCCTTTGATAGTTAGCATACAGCAGTAATAGTTGATTACATGATTGTATGAAGTGTCTTTATAAAAAGAAACAAAATAGTGAGGTGTGGCTCTCCACGATACACCATCATAAGTGTCCACCATCATAAGTGTCTACCATCATAAGTGTCCACCATCATAAGTGTCCCCCATCATAAGTGTCTACCATCATAAGTGTCCACCATCATAAGTGTCTACCATCATAAGTGTCCACCATCATAAGTGTCCACCATCATAAGTGTCTACCATCATAAGTGTCCACCATCATAAGTGTCCCCCATCATAAGTGTCTACCATCATAAGTGTCCACCATCATAAGTGTCTACCATCATAAGTGTCCACCATCATAAGTGTCCCCCATCATAAGTGTCTACCATCATAAGTGTCCACCATCATAAGTGTCTACCATCATAAGTGTCCACCATCATAAGTGTCCCCCATCATAAGTGTCTACCATCATAAGTGTCCACCATCATAAGTGTCCACCATCATAAGTGTCCACCATCATAAGTGTCTACCATCATAAGTATCCACCATCATAAGTGTCCACCATCATAAGTGTCCACCATCATAAGTGTCCCCCATCATAAGTGTCCACCATCATAAGTGTCCCCCATCATAAGTATCAACCATCATAAGTGTCCCCCATCATAAGTGTCCACCATCATAAGTGTCCCCCATCATAAGTATCAACCATCATAAGTGTCCCCCATCATAAGTGTCCACCATCATAAGTGTCCCCCATCATAAGTGTCCACCATCATAAGTGTCCACCATCATAAGTGTCCACCATCATAAGTGTCCACCATCATAAGTGTCCACCATCATAAGTGTCCACCATCATAAGTGTCCACCATCATAAGTGTCCACCATCATAAGTGTCCACCATCATAAGTGTCCACCATCTGCTGACGTGTCCACAGCTACACCTCTATCGTCCCCAATACGTCCCCTAACCCTGTGGCCATCACCTTTGACCCCAACGACAAGATGATTTACTTCTCTGAGGTCTACAGCACGTCGTCCGAGATTCGGAGTTCGAATCACAGGGGGACGGACATCAGGACAGTTCTACCCCCACAGACAGGTTTGATAAGTTTGAAACATTTCAATTAACATTTGTCCTTGTTGAGTTTGGCCTGAGATGACTTAAGGATTTAGCCCCCCTCCCCATTTAGACCTGCGCTGACCGCTGCTATATTTGACCAGGCACTGTAATAGACGGGCTAGCTATTGACAAGAACCGGAACACGATTTTCTTCACCGACGCTGGAAACAAACGGATCGTTGCCATGGCACCGGACGGTATGGGGATCCGAATAGTTGCCACAAATGTTGCCCAGCCCCGGGCTCTGGCCCTCGATAAAAATGCCGGGTAACTGGGTTTGTTTTAATGTCTTGTGTAGATTCTATACACATTCACATCTATTTTAAGCTTTTGTTTTAATCTCTTGTGTAGGTTCACTACAAATTCACATCTATTGTAAGGTTTTGTTTTAATCTTTTGTGTAGATTCTATACAAATTCAGATCTATTTTAAGCTTTTGTTTTAATAACTTGTGTAGATTCTATACAAATTCAGATCTATTTTAAGCTTTTGTTTTAATAACTTGTGTAGATTCTATACAAATTCATCTATTTTAAGGTTTTGTTTCAATGTCTTGTTTAGATTCTATAAAATTCAGATCTATTTTAAACAGCTAGAGGTAAATATTTCCACATTTAAAAAAAATGTCCCCCATTTGATTAGGTTCCTAGCTATTACGTAAACAGACAGATGCGTAAATGCAAACAAATTCTACTAATACATCTTTATTCTGCCTTGTTACGTGGAGAAATGTTTTGCTATGCTACAATGTTCCTATAGTCATTCTTTGTTAACGTCTAGAAATGATCGATTTTTAAAAACATACCTTTTTTTTGTTGCGCATCTTTCCGGTCACCATTTTATTTAGCCAATTTCCACATAACTGTGATAATAATTATGACGACTATTTTTTCAATGACTTGATATTAAAGACTCGTCAACTTAACCTGTGGTGTGTCTGTTCTAGTGTGGTCTACTGGACGGACTGGGGCACCGTACCTAGAATAGAGAAGGCCAACTACGATGGCACCAACAGACAGACGGTGGCCTCCACTGGACTGGTCTACCCTAACGGTCTAGCGCTGGATGTAGGAGGTACGTTCTGTTTTATGTAGGGGGGGGGGGTGGGTGTGGATGTAGGGGGTACTTTCTGTTTTATGTGGGGGGGGGGGTGGATGTAGGGGGTACTTTCTGTTTTATGTGGGGGGGGGGGTGGATGTAGGGGGTACTTTCTGTTTTGTGTGGGGGGGGGGGGGGTGGGGGTGGATGTAGGGGGTACTTTCTGTTTTATGTGGGGGGTGGGGGGGTGGGGGTGGATGTAGGGGGTACTTTCTGTTTTATGTGGGGGGGGGGGGTGGATGTAGGGGGTACTTTCTGTTTTATGTGGGGGGGGGTGGGAGTGGATGTAGGGGGTACTTTCTGTTTTATGTGGGGGGGGGGTGGGGGTGGATGTAGGGGGTACTTTCTGTTTTATGTGGGGGGGGGGTGGATGTAGGGGGTACTTTCTGTTTTATGTGGGGGGGGGGGGGTGGGGGTGGATGTAGGGGGTACTTTCTGTTTTATGTGGGGGGGGGGTGGGGGTGGATGTAGGGGGTACTTTCTGTTTTATGTGGGGGGGGGGTGGGGGTGGATGTAGGGGGTACTTTCTGTTTTATGTGGGGGGGGGTGGATGTAAGGGGTACTTTCTGTTTTATGTGGGGGGGGGGGGGTGGATGTAGGGGGTACTTTCTGTTTTATGTGGGGGGGGGGGGGGGTGGGGGTGGATGTAGGGGTACGTTCTGGTTTATGTGTGCGGGTGGTTGGTCTATAATGTAGGCATACAGGCTAGGGTTGGTGGTTGGTGTATAATGTAGGCATATATTGGCCAGGGTTGTGTAGGTGGTGGTTGGTGTATAATGTAGGCATATATTGGCCAGGGTTGTGTAGGTGGTGGTTGGTGTATAATGTAGGCATATATTGGCCAGGGTTGTGTAGGTGGTGGTTGGTGTATAATGTAGGCATATATTAGCCAGGGTTGTGTAGATCAGAGTTGAGTGTTGGTGAAGTTATCAGCGTAACAAGGAGACTCTGGTTTGATGCCACACATTAGACATGTGAGGGGTGGTGGAGGAGGGGGGATGTGCGGAGATTGACACACACTTTGTGGGTGCTGATAATATGTATAGACTTGGGTTGTCAGCGTTGTATGTAGGCCGATCAAGTTTATTAAACTGACGAAACAATTCAATGTTTAGCTGGCCTGCTGTATTTCTGTGACGCCGGCACCAAGACCATCGAGGTGATGAAAACAGACGGCAGCAACAGGAAAGTCCTGTACATGGACAACGGCGCCCACTTCTTTGGCATCACACTGACGTCACGCTACATCTTCTACAGTGACTGGAACAAACAGTAAGTGGTGAAACACGCGTCTTTGTTAACTTTCACGTCTTTGTTAAATTTCACGTCTTTGTTAACTTTCACAGGCATCTTTGTTAACTTTCACACAGGTCTTTGTTAACTTTCACTGGCGTCTTTGTTAACTTTCACACAAGTCTTTGTTAACTTTCACTGGCGTCTTTGTTAACTTTCACACAGGTCTTTGTTAACTTTCACTGGCGTCTTTGTTAACTTTCACAGCATCTTTTTTACTTTCTCGAATATACGAAGTATAGAGAAAGTCTTGTAATCATGCAAAAAAAAAAAAAAAAACCGAGATTTTTGCAAATCTCGACGTTTTACACCTCCCTGAGTCGGAAAAAAACATAGTTTTGCAATCTTGTCCGTATGTTTGTGTGTGTGTGTGTGTGTGTGTGTGTGTGTGTGTGTGTGTGTGTGCGGATGTGTGTGTGTCTGTAAACACGACAACTTGAGTACCGATACAGCTAGATTGAAGAAATTTCAAATATAAGTATTATATCAAAATCGTAGATTCGTATCAACTGTTGAGCGATTTCCGATAACCGGAAGTGAAACTTTTTCTACTTTGAATTTTCAAAAGTCTACAACTTCAGTACTATTTCAGATAGATAAATGAAATTTCACAACTAAGTAAAAGATCTAATTATCTGCTTTCTTTCAAATTTTGAGTACTTTCCGTTGACCGGAAGTAGTAATTTTCGCTATTTCTGATTTCTCAAAAAACGCATGTGAATTTATAAAGTACTAATAATATTCAGCACTATTATGCACATTTTATTTGGCGTTCACCTGGTGTACAATTCTTTTATCGACGAGATTTTATTCTATTTTAAAAACTTTAAGTATTTAAAATTAAAATGGATTAAAAATCATGTCTATATCCCGAGTTGACATCCCCTGTTGTTTCATATAAGAATATTCGAGAAAGTTTAGGGGAGATCAATTCCGGTTCATTTAACTTTCACAGGCATCTTTGTTAACGTTCACCGGTGTCTTTGTTAATTTTCACTGGTGTCTTTGTTAACTTTCACATGCGTCTTTGTTAACTTTACTTTAATATGCGGCTCGCTATAATTTCTGTAAGAATCATATTTGAAACAATAATACCAAAATCTGTTCCACCCTGACCAATGCAGATAATGTGCTGCTATTTTCCCCCAGGGGGATCATGAGGCTGAACCGTGACGGTACCAACCAGACGCCGGCAGGACCAGAGAGCTTCACCAAGATCAACGGCATCTACGCATACGAGTCGACTTACACGCAATAAACTTCTGGCATGCACTGTGTTGTTTTATGTATGGTCTGTGTGATGCTGGGAGATTTATGTCTTAGTGTTGTCATTACATTTGTTAGTGTTACCACTAGACAAGTTAGTGTTGCCTCTAGACATGTGTTGCCACTAGAGAAGTTAGTGTTGCATCTACTCTCGTTAATGTTGACACACTATGATGTGTGCCATGAAATGAGAGTAAACAAAGAGAGACAATCTGCCTGACCACCTTGTGTAGTGTGTCAGCCAGTGTGATTAACAGTTCACACATCACACGACTGACCACAGTGACGCGTCTCTGTCCTGTCCGATGTTTACACCTGTGGAACCCAGCGATAAGATTTTATGTGGGACACTTGTGGTTCTCACACAGCAGAGGCTCGATTAGAGGTAATACAGAACAGTAAGAAACTGATTCAAAGGTTGGTTAATACAACTTGTCCGTGTTTATTCTAATTACAATTGTTCTAAACTGAACTAGAACCTTGTAAACATTTTGATCGCTAATCATTGGTTGTCCTATTGGACATTTGTCCAGTTTATTTAGTATGTGATCAAAATGGTCCAACTTATTTAGCCTTGCGATAGACCCACTATGAACCAACTTATTAGCCTTTGATAGACCCGTTTGGTCCAACTTATTTAGCCTGTGATAGACCCACTATGGCCCAACTTATTTAGTCTGTGGTTACCCACTATGACCCAAATTATTTAGTCAGTGATAGACCCACTATGACCCAAATTATTTAATCAGTGATAGACCCACTATGACCCAAATTATTTAGTCAGTGATAGACCCACTATGACCCAAATTATTTAATCAGTGATAGACCCACTATGACCCAAATTATTTAGTCAGTGATAGACCCGTTTGGCCCAACTTATTTAGCCTGTGATAGACCCACTTTGGCCCAACTTATTTAGCTTGTGATAGACCCACTATGACCCAAATTATTTAGTCTGTGATTACCCACTTTGGCCCAACTTATTTAGCTTGTGATAGACCCACTATGACCCAAATTATTTAGTCAGTGATAGACCCACTATGACCCAAATTATTTAATCAGTGATAGACCCACTATGACCCAAATTATTTAATCAGTGATAGACCCACTATGACCCAAATTATTTAGTCTGTGATTACCCACTTTTGCCCAACTTATTTAGCTTGTGATAGACCCACTATGACCCACATTATTTAGTCTGTGGTTACCCACTTTGGCCCAACTTATTTAGCTTGTGATAGACCCACTATGACCCAAATTATTTAGTCAGTGATAGACCCACTATGACCCAAATTATTTAGTCAGTGATAGACCCACTATGACCCAAATTATTCAGTGATTGATACACCCACTATGACCCAAATTATTTAGTCAGTGATAGACCCACTATGTCCTAAATTATTTAGTCAGTGATAGACCCACTATGGCCCAAATTATTTAGTCATTGATATACCCACTATGACCTAAATCATTTAGTCAGTGATAGACCCACTTTGGCCCAACTTATTTAGCCTGTGATAGACCCACTATGGTCCAACTTATTTAGTCAGTGATAGACCCACTATGACCCAAATTATTTAGTCAGTGATAGACCCACTATGACCCAAATTATTTAATCAGTGATAGACCCACTATGACCCAAATTATTTAGTCAGTGATAGACCCGTTTGGCCCAACTTATTTAGTCTGTGATAGACCCACTATGACCCAAATTATTTGGTCAGTGATAGACCCACTATGACCCAAATTATTTAATCAGTGATAGACCCACTATGACCCAAATTATTTAGTCAGTGATAGACCCGTTTGGCCCAACTTATTTAGCCTGTGATAGACCCACTTTGGCCCAACTTATTTAGCTTGTGATAGACCCACTATGACCCAAATTATTTAGTCTGTGATTACCCACTTTGGCCCAACTTATTGAGCTTGTGATAGACCCACTATGACCCAAATTATTTAGTCAGTGATAGACCCGTTTGGCCCAACTTATTTAGCCTGTGATAGACCCACTTTGGCCCAACTTATTTAGCTTGTGATAGACCCACTATGACCCAAATTATTTAGTCTGTGATTACCCACTTTGGCCCAACTTATTTAGCTTGTGATAGACCCACTATGACCCAAATTATTTAGTCAGTGATAGACCCACTATGACCCAAATTATTTAATCAGTGATAGACCCACTATGACCCAAATTATTTAATCAGTGATAGACCCACTATGACCCAAATTATTTAGTCTGTGATTACCCACTTTTGCCCAACTTATTTAGCTTGTGATAGACCCACTATGACCCACATTATTTAGTCTGTGGTTACCCACTTTGGCCCAACTTATTTAGCTTGTGATAGACCCACTATGACCCAAATTATTTAGTCAGTGATAGACCCACTATGACCCAAATTATTTAGTCAGTGATAGACCCACTATGACCCAAATTATTCAGTGATTGATACACCCACTATGACCCAAATTATTTAGTCAGTGATAGACCCACTATGTCCTAAATTATTTAGTCAGTGATAGACCCACTATGGCCCAAATTATTTAGTCATTGATATACCCACTATGACCTAAATCATTTAGTCAGTGATAGACCCACTTTGGCCCAACTTATTTAGCCTGTGATAGACCCACTATGGTCCAACTTATTTAGTCAGTGATAGACCCACTATGACCCAAATTATTTAGTCAGTGATAGACCCACTATGACCCAAATTATTTAATCAGTGATAGACCCACTATGACCCAAATTATTTAGTCAGTGATAGACCCGTTTGGCCCAACTTATTTAGCCTGTGATAGACCCACTTTGGCCCAAATTATTTAGCTTGTGACAGACCCACTATGATCCAAATTATTTAGTCTGTGATTACCCACTTTGGCCCAACTTATTTAGTCAGTGATAGACCCACTATGACCCAAATTATTCAGTCATTGATACACCCACTATGACCCAAATTATTTAGTCAGTGATAGACCCACTATGACCTAAATTATTTAGTCAGTGATAGACCCACTATGACCTAAATTATTTAGTCAGTGATAGACCCACTATGACCCAAATTATTCAGTCATTGATACACCCACTATGACCCAAATTATTTAGTCAGTGATAGACCCACTATGACCTAAATTATTTAGTCAGTGATAGACCCACTATGACCCAAATTATTCAGTCATTGATACACCCACTATGACCCAAATTATTTAGTCAGTGATAGACCCACTATGACCTAAATTATTTAGTCAGTGATAGACCCACTATGACCTAAATTATTTAGCCTGTGATAGACCCACTATGGCCCAACTTATTTAGCCTGTGATAGACCCACTATGACCCAAATTATTTAGTCTGTGATAGACCCACTATGGCCCAACTTATTTAGCCTCTCATAGACCCACAACGGCCCAACTTATTTAGCCTGTGATAGACCCATCATGATAGTACTATTTGGTCGCCTATGAACCAAGCTTTTTAACCAGCTTTATTTTGTTTAGTTTAAAGTTTGACTTATAATTCTTCTACGATTTTACCCACTAGTTTGTTTAATTATGGACCCAACAAACATGAATAAGTTGACATTGAAATAACTTTAAAATGTTGACCCCTCTTTACGGTGTCTATGTCATTGTACTTTGAATATATATCTGCAGGTGATAAATAACACATTTTGAGCTACATTTCAGATGCTAAGTGTCCTGCTTTGACAAGTTCTACCTACCAAATATTTAGACGTACCATCATATAATTGATATGGTAACAGACCTTACAGATACACACTACTTCACCTGAACCGTTGTGGCATAGACTCTATAACATGGTCAACCCAGTCTACCAATCTTTACGGTATGTATTTAGTTCCATTTTCAAAATGTCATACATTAGATGTCGTAAATCGATCATACGTCAGGTGTCATACTCCAGATGTTAAATATGTGCTACTCTTCGGCGGCCATACTTTAGCAGTTCTACTTCAGATGTCCTACTTCAGATGTCCTACTTCTTCAGATGTCCTACTTCAGATGTCCTACTTCAGATGTCCTACTTCAGATGTCCTACTTCTTCATATGTCCTACTTCTTCAGATGTCCTACTTCTTCAGATGTCCTACTTCTTCAGATGTCCCACTTCAGATGTCCTACTTTAAATGTCTAAATTTAGATGACACACTTCAGATGTCGTATTTCTGATTTCATTACCTCAGTATAAAGTGTTGTCATTTCTCTCTACAGATTTGTCATAATGTTGACGTCATCAGAAATGTGGAAATGACATCTTTGTGTCCTGAAATATTGTCCTCAAATGTTGCCCTCAAATGTGGGTCGAACTGTTCTAGAAACTTCTGTCTCATGAGGACACACAGTTTTTGTTTGTGGGGGCGGAGGGCTGCTTACAGACGTGGTATGTACATGTGTATGTTGTATATACATATATATATATATATATATATATATATATATATATATATATATATATATATATATATATATATATATATATATATATATATATATATATATATACATATACATATATATATATATACATATATAATATATATACATATATATATATATACATATATATATATATTTATATATATATATATATATATATATATATATATATATATATATATATATATATATATATATATATATATATATATTATATATATATATATATATATATATTATATATATATATATATATATTCATAATAATGTATGGATCGTTAGATTGTTGAGGATCGACATTTTGTGTACAACCCTCCCTAGCATCTGGAAGTTTTGTCTATGGTTGGGGGGGGGGGGGGGGTCATCCATTTGTTACGTCCAGATGGAGTGAGGAGGAGGTGGGGGTCAGAACAAAACAACTTGTGTAGACACATGTACATAAGGCTCTGGATTTATTCCATACAGTGGGCAAAAAAAAATATATCGTCATGATTTTTAAACGATATTTTCCCCATCCCCTTCCTCAACTTTACACATGGTCGCCAAAATGCGGGATCCAACACTTAAAATGCCAACACTCAGCCTACCAATACTCTCAAGACTTTATTTTAAAAAAAAACAACAACAGCCATTTAATTAACGAACACGGTTAACATTGAGTTGGCATAGATTGGTTAACTTTTATTAAAATGAAATTTGCATTTTTAAAAAAAAAATTAGTGTCTAACATTATTGGAAAAGCGTGTCCTCTCACCTTCTGATTCCCCCCCCCCCCCCCCCCGTTTATTAATTTTATAATGCTGATATACAATTATATTATTAATATTCATCCAACGTGTACAGAGATTATTACTTTTAGCAACCCCCCCCCTATTACATACTTAACATGGGGTTTTGGTTGTTAATAAGAAATCATCTAAATAAAGACTATTTATAATTTGAAGTCCAATACATACAGATTGTACTCTCTACACTCTAGATTCAACAGTTGTTGTTTAGTTGTAATAATAGGTATAATACATGTTATTGTTTTAGTAAATTGGAAGTAAATTTTTGAGAGGTTTAATAATTTTTTTTTACATCGGTGGGGGGTGGGGGGGCGGAGGCTTGTCGAAAATTGACTCGTGATCACTTGGGGGGTGGTAGACGTCATGGATGGATAATCCCCAGAGAGATGTCGGGGGCGTCATAGATCTACAGAAAGTATCACATTGTCCAGTTGAACCCACACACCCACAAACCCATGGTATCACAGCCCAGTATGAGAGCTCAAACATTTTAATTTCTCGCTTGACTTGATGTGTTACAACACTCATTTGTTTTTGGTTTTCTTTTTTTTTCATATAGACAATGGACAGGATGTCACCTAACATCAAGATGTCAATGTGTACAGGCAACATCAAGATGTCAATGTGTACAGGCAAGATCAGGATGTCAATGTGTATAGACAACATCAGGATGTCAATGTGTTCAGGCAACATCAGTATGTCAATGTGTTCAGGCAACATCAGTATGTCAATGTGTACAGGCAACATCAGGATGTCAATGTGTACAGGCAACATCAGTATGTCAATGTGTACATGCAACATCAAGATGACAATGTGTACATGCAACATCAGGATGTCAATGTGTACAGGCAACATCAGGATGACAATGTGTACAGGCAACATCAGGATGACAATGTGTACAGGCAACATCAGGATGACAATGTGTACAGGCAACATCAGGATGACAATGTGTACAGGCAACATCAGGATGACAATGTGTACAGGCAACATCAGGATGACAATGTGTACAGGCAACACCAGGATGTCAATGTGTATGTACAGGCAACACCAGGATGTCAATGTGTACAGGCAACACCAGGATGTCAATGTGTACAGACAACATCAGGATGTCGATGTGTACAACAAGCAACATCAGGATGTCAATGTGTACAGGATGTCAGAAGTTCAGGGGACAACTGCTGGCCTGGGACCGTCGTTCATGCCACATGTCCAGCATTACAGAAATCAACATGCAACAAATAAGTGATCTCAAGATCGTGCTTGTAAAAATATAAACGTGGTTCGAAAGTGTACGTCAAATAGAATGTTGGTTTAATGACGTATAAGCTATCAATTACTAAAGAGGACCCCATTTTGTGATCAAACTGGGTTAGGAAGTAAGAAAGGGGGGGGGGAGTAGTGGGGAAAGGGGGGTTAGTTGGGATGTGGGTAGTGGGGTAGGGCAGGGGGAATGGAGGGTTGGAAAGTGAGGGCAGTGGGTAATGGCTGAAAAATGGGTATTGTGAAAAGGGTGGGGCTGTGTGGAATGTTGGGGGCAGTGGGAAGGGGTAAAGGGGTGGGGGTCTGTGAAGTGGTGGGGGGTGGTGGGGGTTTTGGGGAAGGGTCGGAGAGGGGTGGGGGTTTTGGGGATGGTTGGAAAGGGGTGGGGGTTTTGGGGAAGGGGTGGAAAGGATTAGGGGTTTTGGTGATGGGTTGGAAAAGGAAAGGGGAGGGGGCTTGGGGGGTGAAAAGGAGAGGGGGTTTTGGGAAAGGGGGTGGCAGGGGGTGGGGGGTTTTGGGAAAGGGGGTGGCAGAGGGTGGGGGGTTTTGGGAAAGGGGGTGGCAGGGGGCGGAAGGGTTTTGGGAAAGGGGGTGGTGGGGGGGGGTTTGGGAAAGGGGCTGGCAGGGGTTGAGGGGGGTTTGGGAAAGGGGGTGGGTGGGGGGGTTTGGGAAAGGGGTGGCAGGGGGTGGGGGGTTTGGGAAAGGGGGGGGGGGGCAGGGGGTGGAGGGTTTTGGGAAAGGGGGTGGTGGGGGGTTTTGGAAAAGGGGGTGGCAGGGGGTGGGGGGTTTTGGAAAAGGGGGTGGCAGGGGGTGGGGGGTTTTGGAAAAGGGGTGGCAGGGGGTGGGGGGTTTTGGAAAAGGGGGGTGGCAGGGGTTGGGGGGTTTTGGAAAAGGGGGTGGCAGGGGGTGTGGGGGGGGGGGTTGGAAAAGGGGGTGGCAGGGGGTGGGGGGTTTTGGAAAAGGGGGTGGCAGGGGGTGGGGGGTTTTGGAAAAGGGGGTGGCAGGGGGTGGGGGGTTTTGGAAAAGGGGGTGGCAGGGGGTGGGGGGTTTTGGGAAAGGGGGTGGCAGGGGGTGGGGGGTTTTGGGAAAGGGGGTGGCAGGGATTGGGGGGGTTTTGGGAAAGGGGGTGGCAGGGGGTGGGGGGGTTTGGGAAAGGGGTTGGCAGGGGGTGGGGGGTTTTGGGAAAGGGGGTGGCAGGGGGTGGGGGGTTTTGGGAAAGGGGGTGGCAGGGGGTGGGGGGTTTTGGGAAAGGGGGTGGCAGGGGGTGGGGGGTTTTGAGAAAGGGGGTGGCAGGGGGTGGGGGGTTTTGGAAAGGGGGTGGCAGGGGGTGGGGGGTTTTGGGAAAGAGGTGGGGTGGTTGGGTAAGATGCTGAAGGGGGGATAGATACGTAGATAAAAAGTGACAGTTTCTAAACTATTTACACCGGCAGTGCTGTTTAGTTGACTGTCCTTGCCTGACCCTTATCATAATCTACCTTTCCTGGGATCACATAGAGAGTCTCCATATGGCTCAGAAGAATTGCTCTGTAAAGTATGTGTACACCACTTGTAAAATTCTCAACTGAAAATTTCACATTTTTAATGACCATTTTACTTTTACTTTCTTCCATTTTTTATTAAAATATTGAAACGGATTTCCCCACCATAACTATTACTAGTCACATGAAAACAGCGTGGGCTGTGATGATAGTTGCCAGCAGTGTTAAAAATGTGATGGTCGAGATCAGAGTTTCTTCCAGGCATCTCTTCCCCCCCCCCCCCCCCGAAAATATTCTAACCCCCCCCCCCCCCCGAACGAAATAAAATTTATATAATTTATATAGAAAATATATACTTTTAACAGTGTCCACCCCCGAGGAAAGTCTACCGCCCCACCCCCCCCCCCCCGAAAATTTCAAGTGCCTTCCCCCCCACCCCCGGAGAAAAAAGTCTGGAAGAAACACTGGTCGAGATGGTTTGTGTCTATGTTATATCGAGGGGAGGGATGGGTGAAAAAAAGATTTATTTAGATCTTTTTATCTTTTCTGCTACTCCTAGGTAAGCTATACAAGCGCTCTAAGAAAAAGAAAAAAAAAGTTACTATCTAGAACTTTCGGTGGCCTACTTGAACTAGTTCTATAGCCTGCTATCAATTCATCTGTTGTTTTAAAGTCTCGAGGAACTAGATCTGTCAGTACCGCTGTAGTCAAGATGGGATGTTCATATCTTGTTGTTGCTGTATTGCTGGTTCAGTGTATGTCGGCGTTGGATGGTAAGTGGTCATCATAAAATCTATGGTTACCTTGTATTTATGTTGGAGAATGTTGTCCAACTTTAAACCTATCTAAGTTAAACTTATATTGCCCCATGTTAAACCTACCTAAGTTAACCTTATGTTGTCTCATGTTAAACATACCTGAGTTAATCTTATTTTGCCACATGTGTGTGTTAAACCTATCTAAGTTAACCCGATGTTGCCCCATGTTAAACCTACCAAAGTTAACCTGCTGCATCACAACGTTAAACCTACCTAAGTTAACCTACTATTGCCCCATGTTAACCTACCAAAGTTAACCTGCTGCATCCCAACGTTAAACCTACCTAAGTTAACCCGATGTGCCCCATGTTAAACCTACCTAAGTTAACCTGATGTTGCCTCATGTTGAACATACCTAAGTTTACCTAATGTTGTCCCATGTTAAACCTACCAAAGTTTACCTAATGTTGTCCAATGTTAAACCTACCTAAGTTAACCTGATGTTGCCTCATTTTAAACCTACCTAAGTTAACCTACTGTTGCCCCATGTTAAACCTACCAAAGTTAACCTGCTGCATCCCAACGTTAAACCTACCTAAGTTAACCTACTGTATCCCAACGCTAAACCTACCTAAGTTAACCCTATGTGCCCCATGTTAAACCTACCAAAGTTAACCTGATGTTGCCCCATGTTAAACCTACCTAAGTTAACCTGATGTTGCACCATGTTAAACCCACCTAAGTTAACCCGATGTGCCCCATGTTAAACCTACCTAAGTTAACCTGATGTTGCCTCATGTTAAACCTACCTAAGTTAACCTACTGTATCCCAACGCTAAACCTACCTAAGTTAACCCTATGTGCCCCATGTTAAACCTACCAAAGTTAACCCGATGTTTCCCCATGTTAAACCTACCTAAGTTAACCTAGTGTTGCCCCACGTTAAACCTAACTAAGTAACCTGATGTTGCCCCATGTTAAACCTACCTAAGTAACCTGCTGCATCACAACGTTAAACCTACCTAAGTTAACCTTATGTTGCCCCATGTTAAACCTAAGTTAACCCGATGTTGCCTCATGTTAAACCTAAGTTAACCTGATGTTGCCCACAGAGACAACATTTACCTGCATGTACTGCCAGGGTGTTGATGACCCAGGCCTGTGCTACACACGGACCAAGTGCTCGACCAACCAGGTAAAGTTTCATGTGGCCAGATCAATTGTGGCATGATGTTCACACTGTTAGTAACGGCGGCATCATTAGAGCGGTCAAGTTGTAGCTAGATCTATATGACCAACTAAGTGAAATGGTCAAGCTGTAGCTAGATCTATATGACCAACTAGTTGAAGCGGTCAAGCTGTAGCTAGATCTATATGACCAACTAGTTGAAGCGGTCAAGCTGTAGCTAGATCTATATGACCAACTAGTTGAAGTGGTCAAGCTGTAGCTAGATCTATATGACCAACTAATGGAAGCGGTCAAGTGTAGCTAGATATATATGACCAACTAGTTGAAGTGGTCAAGCTGTAGCTAGATCTATATGACAAACTAGTTGAAGCGGTCAAGCTGTAGCTAGATCTGTAAAACAACTATTTGAAGCAGTCAAGCTGTAGCTAGATCTATATGACCAACTAATAGAAGCGGTCAAGCTGTAGCTAGATCTATATGACCAACTAGTTGAAGCGGTCAAGCTGTAGCTAGATCTGTAAAACAACTATTTGAAGCAGTCAAGCTGTAGCTAGATCTATATGACCAACTAATAGAAGCGGTCAAGCTGTAGCTAGATCTATATGACCAACTAGTTGAAGCGGTCAAGCTGTAGCTAGATCTATATGACCAACTAATGGAAGCGGTCAAGCTGTAGCTAGATCTATATGACCAACTAATTGTAGCGGTCAAGATGTAGCTAGATCTATATGACCAACTAGTTGAAGCGGTCAAGCTGTAGGTAGATCTATATGACCAACTAGTTGAAGCGGTCAAGCTGTAGCTAGATCTATATGACCAGCTAGTTGAAGCGGTCAAGCTGTAGCTAGATCTATATGACTAACGAGTTGAAGCGCTCAAGCTGTAGCTAGATCTATATGACCAACTAATTGAAGCGGTCAAGCTGTAGCTAGATCATACATAGTTTTACACCCCACCCCCACCACACATACAACCACACTTCACTCACACGCAAGAAGCTATTGTTAAATAGCCACATTACCTAGTGTGATTAAACATAACAACTTTTTATTTGGCAAGTCTTACAAGAAATTCGACCTGCCCGCTAATACAACCAGTAGAGAAGCCTTAATTTATAAGGACTGAGTACAGTCTTTAAAAACCACTTTATTATGTCACTGATCGTTTTTTGTCCAAAGATGTTTTCTTTTATCATTTCAGCTGTGTTATGCTGAGGTGAAAGTAACAGAGAGAAATAACAGTTTATATTTTCTGTCTTGTCAAGACGCTGTGGTAGGTTTTTATATTTGGTTTACAATTGATGCAGCGATTGAGGAAAGATTGTTGATTTAATAATGGACACCAGTGAGTTGACGAAAATCCTTCCGTAATGTTGTTGACATGGAATAAAAATGTGCTTTTTTAGATTTAGGACCGTAAAAATAATAAAAGATACAATTTTATTAAAAACTTAAAAGATTAAGCCTAAAATAAATTCAGAAATTTAATATTTTTAGAATCAATGCTATAAAAGTTGCAGATCCAGAGAACTTGAAAATAATTTGTTGAGTTTAAGGCTACATTTCTATTTATTTTCATCAATCCTAAGTTATAACCCAATGTTTCACTTTCGTAAGACAAACATTGATTGGCTGTACAGGAACTCCGTGATCGATTTCTGACAGCCCCATTTTATAGTTTTTTTTTTGTTTACAAAACTTTGCAGATCAAGTTTATAAAGAACAATGCAAATTTAAACCCCATGACCTAGTTTTTCTTTTTTTAGCTTACAATGTGTACAATAAAATTTATGGCGACCTATCGAATAGCAGGATGCCATTGTTTATGTCACCATTACACGTGAAAACCAAATTGTTTTTGCTTTTTTTTTTTTATTTTATTTAGTTACCGAAAATATTAAAAACATCAAATACATCCAATCTTTAGTTAAGTCCGAAAAAAAACCAGACAGGCAGGATTTTATAACCATTTTAATTGTAACTAAGCCGTGCACGATTTTTAAATTAATTTATGGACCTCTCAAATACATTTGAGACTTTTCTCGCTGGCGTCCAATTAAAAATAAAACATCAGTTATAGACAGCAGTCAACGAGGGAATAGACATAAGTTGTGGCTAGCAGTCAAATAGAAATTAGCGAGCAGATAGTGCACAGTGACGGTTCACTCGAGCCACAAAGAAAACGCCCAGCACGACACTTCTACTACTCACCAACATGCGTGACCTTGAAACTAGCCGGGATACAATTGGACTGAGAGCGTTAAAAACACACCAATTTTACCGGGCTAAAAAGTACTTCTTTACAGGTCAATGTACAATTTACCGGCTTACACTTAATGCTGACCAGGACAGAGACCTTTTGCTGGCACAACTCTACTTCCTCTACAGTTCTGTGACCAGCTGGCTGGGTCTGTGATCATAGGCAAGAGAGAAGATACCGGAGCCGTTACTGACGTCACGACCTGCAGGAAATGTTGCAGAACTGACGAGTGTAACAGGGAGATTTGTGGCACAAGTTAGTCGTGTAGTTATGGTTAGGTGGTAGTAAGCTTGGGGGGGGGAGGTAAGGTTAGGTGGGGTTCAAATTTGGTTAAACTGAGGTTTGGTGAGGTTAAGGTAACTTGAGGGTAGAGTATGGTTAACGAGGTTACCATTAAGTAAGTTTTAACTTGCACGGGAGTTAAGGATAGATGGGTTGAAGTTTTGGTTAATTAGGGCTAGTCAGTGTTAAGCATGGGTTAGAATACATAATAAATGTTTGGTGGGTTAAAGGTATGTATGGTTGGTCTGACATCTGTTATCAAACCCAAAATTATCTTAATGTTTTGTCTGAGATACCTTATCCAACTCTCCATGATTTGAATGTTTTCTCTGTAATCTGTTATCCAACTCTCCATGATTTGAATGTTTTCTCTGTGATCTGTTATCCAACTCTCCATGATTTGAATGTTTTCTCTGTGATCTGTTATCCAACTCTCCATGATTTGAATGTTTTGTATGTGATCTGTTATCAAACCCAAAATGGTCTTAATGTTTTGTCTGAGATACGTGATCCAACTCTCCATGATTTGAATGTTTGGTCTTAGATCTGTTATAGAATTCTCCTTGATTTGAATGTTTTGTAAGAGATACCTTATCCAACTCTCCATGATTTGAATGTTTTGTATGTGATCTGTTATCAAACCCAAAATGGTCTTAATGTTTTGTCTGAGATACGTTATCCAACTCTCCATGATTTGAATGTTTGGTCAATGATCTGATATCCAACCCTCTTGTAGAACCTGATGTCGTGGTCCCTGAAAGCGTCGACAAGAACAACACGTACGTCAGGCTAGCTGTGATGGGTCAGGTCGAGGTCTTTGTTAACGGCGTCTGGTCGACTCTCTGCGTCAACGGCTGGGATGATGACGCTGCCCAAGTTGCTTGTCACATGATGGGCTACAGTAGGTCAGTGAGGCAGTAGGTTACGGCCGGTCTTGCTTTCAGGCATCTGCCATCTCTCCCCCCCCCCCCCCCGAAGCAATACACCGCCCCCTTCCAAAGTTTCAAGAGCTCCCACCCCGGGAAAATGTCTGAAAGAAACCCTGTTTATAGTAGCTTAGTTTAGGCAGACAAATATGTGAAACAGATTCAATATTCACGTTGTGCTGACCAATCATTGAAAACGTTTCCAGAGAAGGTTCCAAGGCCGTGAACGTGAGCACTGCGGGGACGGGGCTGGGCGTGGCCAACCTGGACGGGCTGACCTGTCAGGGTGACGAGGACCATCTGCTGGACTGTGCACTGTCTGCTGGCGACTGGAGCCTGCACGCCTGCCCCACCCTGGAGAGTGCAGGTGTTGTGTGCAATCACAGTGAGTACTGTGGCATGTGCTGTGTGTATTCAGTGAGTACGGTGGCAGGTGCTGTGTTAATTCAGTGAGTTCTGTGGCAGGTGCTGTGTTTATTTAGTGAGTACTGTGGCAGGTGGTGTGTTTTTTTACTAAGTACTGTGGCAAGTGGTGTGTGTATTAAGTGAGTACTGTGGCATGTGTTGTGTGTATTCAGTGAGTACTGTGGCAGGTGTTGTGTGTATTCAGTGAGTACTGTGGCAGATGTTGTATGTATTCAGTGAGTACTGTGGCAGGTGTTGTTTGTATTCAGTGAGTACTGTGGCAGGTGATGTGTGTATTGAGTGAGTTCTGTGTCAGGTGCTGTGTGTATTGAGTGAGTACTGTGGCAGGTGGTGTGTGTATTCAGTGAGTACGGTGGCAGGTGCTGTGTTAATTCAGTGAGTTCTGTGGCAGGTGCTGTGTTTATTTAGTGAGTACTGTGGCAGGTGGTGTGTGTATTCACTAAGTACTGTGGCAAGTGGTGTGTGTATTAAGTGAGTACTGTGGCATGTGTTGTGTGTATTCAGTGAGTACTGTGGCAGGTGTTGTGTGTATTCAGTGAGTACTGTGGCAGATGTTGTATGTATTCAGTGAGTACTGTGGCAGGTGTTGTTTGTATTCAGTGAGTACTGTGGCAGGTGATGTGTGTATTGAGTGAGTTCTGTGTCAGGTGCTGTGTGTATTGAGTGAGTACTGTGGCAGGTGCTGTGTGTATTCAGTGAGTACTGTGGCAGGTGCTGTATGTATTCAGTGAGTGCTGTGGCAGGTGCTGTATGTATTCAGTGAGTATTCTCGCAGGTGTTGTGTGTATTCAGTGAGTACTGTGGCAGGTGCTGTGTGTATTCAGTGAGTACTGTGGCAGGTGCTATGTGTATTGAGTGAGTACTGTGGTAGGTACTGTGTGTGTATTCGGTGAGTACTGTGGCAGGTGCTGTGTGTATTCAGTGGGTACTGTTGCAGGTGCTATGTGTATTCAGTGAGTACTGTGGTAGGTACTGTGTGTGTATTCGGTGAGTACAAGTGGCTTGTATTCAAAGAGAGTGTTATGGCAGTGTTTCGACATTGAATAATGTAACGAGTTGACACAGTAAAAACCGATTAATGGATCTGCCAAAGTTAACAGATGATAGTTGGGTAAAAACGACCCTCCATGGACTGCGACCATCTATAGCTACCGACAGTATTAAATGAGGACAATAAACCCCCCCCCCCCCCCTGTTTCCAAATTCTGTCATCTTTAACCGATTTTTAATGTCATAGAAGCAGACATGTGTCTCTGTGTACTGTGTGACTTGAATTTGACTTGTTTTTTTACAAGCTTTTATTTAACTCACTTCCTCTGTCTGTCGTAAGTCGTCAGTCTAGACGGAAACGCAGGAGTGAAAATTCGGACAGTTCTACTTGACCGATACGATTCACAGTTGGCACGTGGGTCAAGACATGAAGACAATGCAATCTGAATCTAAATTTGACTTAATTGGATGCCTAATTAATTTTTTATGAATTAATTAAAGTTTGGACCGAATTAGTAGGCATGTCTAGCCAACCACACCACACGCGTCATCACCTTCAATAGCTGCGCCATCACGTAATGGCTGCGTTCAAAAACCATTGTGCGCCTACTGAACGTGATGTTTAGTAGGCGCGCAATGGTTTTTAGTCATGTAACTCTATTGTAAATAAAACATGTAAAGTACTGAAAAAAAATTCATAAAAAACGTTTTAATAACAAGCTTTTATGTAATGATGCACTAAAAAGTAGAAAATAAATTATAGACTACTATTTAAATAACTATAAAGAAAAGCGTGGGTGTCTTCCTTAACATTAGTAAAGGTATCCAATAGATACTAAAGTGACCCACGCTTTTCTTTATAGTTATTTAAATAGTAGTCTATAATTTATTTTCTACTTTTTAGTGCATCATTACATAAAAGCTTGTTATTAAAACGTTTTTTATGAATTTTTTTACAAGCTTTTATTTAACTCACTTCCTCGTCAGTCGACAGTCTGTCTGTCTAGACGGAAACGCAGGAGTGAAAATTCGGAAACTTCTACTTGACCGATACGATTCACAGTTGGCACGTGGGTCAAGACATGAAGACAATGCAATCTGAAACTAAATTTGACTTAATTGGATGCCTAATTGATTTTTTATGAATTAATTAAAATTTGGACCGAATTAGTAGGCATGTCTAGCCAACCACACCACACGCGTCATCAATAGCTGCGCCATCACGACCACGTAATGGCTGCGTTCAAAAACCATTGCGCGCCTACTGAACGTGATATTCAGTAGGCGCGCAATGATTTTTAGTCATGTAACTCTATTGTAGATAAAACATGTAAAGTACTGAAAAAAAAATTCATAAAAAACGTTTTAATAACAAGCTTTTATGTAATGATGCACTAAAAAGTAGAAAATAAATTATAGACTACTATTTAAATAACTATAAAGAAAAGCGTGGGTGTCTTCCTTAACATTAGTAAAGGTATCCAATAGATACTAAAGTGACCCACGCTTTTCTTTATAGTTATTTAAATAGTAGTCTATAATTTATTTTCTACTTTTTAGTGCATCATTACATAAAAGCTTGTTATTAAAACGTTTTTTATGAATTTTTTTTATCCAATTTCATCCTTGATGAGATTTTTTAATCCTGTGTTTTTTTCACCAGCCGGAATCTTGGATAACATTTTGTTGTTGGCAGACAGGACGTATAGAGGCGGTATAGTGCGCATGGACCTGGACACGTTTAGGTCAGTTGATAGACACAACTTGGTGAGGTGGTAGACACATTTAGGTGAGGTGATAAGGACACATTTAGGTGAGTTGAAAGACACCTTTCAGTGAGTTGATAGACACGTTAAGATACGTTGATAGAGACCTATGAGACACACTCCACTGACCCATTAAACCTTTGGATCGACCAGCTACACTTTGCTGTATTCGTCTCGCTTGGCTGACTCCATCAGACCTGTGGCCTTGACATTCGAGCCCATGTACCACCGGGTCTATAACCTTGTCTACGTCAACTCGTCTGATGGCGTGTACTCGGAGATCTGGTGCCAAGACGTCAGGACTACAGGACCCGTCTACCCAGTCATGAGGGTTCAAGGTCAGTCGCTTGTCCGCGTGAGTTCTCTCGCTAACTTTTGTTTTGTCCAGTCATCTTTAACTTTTCTATAAGCTCCCTGATGTTATGTTTAACTAGAGCATCTTTTGTCACTGTTTGTGTGATTTTGTTTTAACTTGTTTCATTCATACAAATTATTTTTTCAATATATAAAAAGAATTGGTTAAATGACTGGTGAAGTTTAACATCATTACTTACAGTTACGTTTATGAAGTTAAACACCACTAACACTTCGCCCTGTTCTGTGACAGCTCTTGTGAATGGTATCGCCGTTGACTCCTCGAGGAACATCCTGTTTATGACTGACGCCACCAACAGAAACATCACCAGAGCCTACACGACTGGCACCGACCTTGAACCTGTCGTCTCGCTGGATGACGAGCCTCACGCTGTGACCTTAGACCAGACCAACCAGTGAGTTGGTGGTTCTATCACAACGATCTTTGTGTTTGTGTTTGTGTTTGCGTTAGAGTTTAGGTATTAGTTGTGGTTAGGTTAAATTTAGAGTTAGAGTAAGGCTTAGGTGTAGGGTTATATTTTATTGTCTCAAACGGCAAAGCCGGGTATATACTGCTTAATAAACACACAAGTCATGGTCCTTTACAGATGTATTTTTTTTCACATAGGCCAGTGCAGGGCCTTGCCGAGACAGCTAGTATTTATAAAGAAAGATAAAAAGGAATCAAGTTAAAAATAAATTTATGTGCGTTTTCAGAGAAATTGGAAATAGGGTAAAGTACTGCTTCCGGTCACCGGAAATTATTCAAAATTTGACAGAAAAAAAAATCTTCTACATGTGAAATAGGCTTTTGACTAACCTAAAGTAGAATAAGTTCCTTTTCCGATTACCGGAAATCGCCGAAAAGTTGAAACAGGGCTTCAAATTTGATATAATACATATAATTAAGTTATTCCAATATATATATATATATATATATATATATATATATATATATATATATATATAACGCTGCTGGTAGTGTGTCAGTCCTCCCTTACTTCCGCCATAGCTATAGATTTTAAACCATTAAAATAAACATCGCACCAAGCAGTGCTTTTACATTGCATCGCATTGACTTATTATAAATAATAGAGTAGGGGTTGTTTACATAACGACATAAATTTATTTTATAGTTACGACAGTTTTTACACTTTCGAATAACGTGAAGAAATTATTAAATACACGCTAAAACATATTAGACGGATCAATGTCAAATATAATTTTCGTTTAGATTCCTAGAAAAAGTGGATACATTTTCATAACAGTAGGGTCGAAAAAACTAATTAATTAAAATCTTTTAATAGCTATGCCAAGGGGAGGTAATTTTAAAATAAATTCAACTCACGCTAATTGAAAAAACGGTGAATGCAAAATCTCCAAGAGGGAATTATTGTTGGAATAATATAATTATCAAAATGTGAATGTAAATTCTGCAGACGTGTAAGAGGACATTATTGTTGGAGTTTTATAATTAGCATTGATTGATAAAAGGCTATCTTTTATTTATTTTTATTTTATTCACTGAACGTAGGCCTACTGTTTACTAATTATAATTTTTAATCAACTATTCCGTAACATCATGCACGCGTCATCATGTTCAATACGTGCGCAATGGTTTTAGTTATGAAACTTTATTGCGAATTTTTATAATTTTAAGTACTTAAAAATGCATGAATTGATAAAGTGCATGATGGTAGGTAAAACACGGATATTTTAAATACTGCCTTTCATTTATTTTTATACACTGAACATAATGTTTACTAATTATAATTCTATCTTTCGGTTTGCGAGGGGTTTTATAGCCATTCACTGAATAGGGTGCGGTTTCGCGACACGGGCTAGACTGTGAGCACTATGCGTTTATGTTTTTATGTGTGTTTTTATTTGCATTTGCTTTTTGTTTTGTGTTTATGTTTATGTGTTGGGTTTGTGTTTTCGTTTGTGTTTGCATTGTTTTTGTTTTCTTTTGTGTTTGTGTAGTATAAATCTTTTCTTTTGTGTTTATTTTTCTTTTTTGTTTGTGTTGTGTTTCTGTTTTCTTTTGTGTTTGTGTATTCTTTTCTGTTTGTGTTGTGTTTATGTTTTCTTTGTGTTGTGTTCGTGTTGTGTTCGTGTTGTGTTTAGTTTTGTTCTGTTCCCATGTAGGTACATTTAAAAAAGATTTACCATGGCGAAGCACGGATATGCACATGTAACTGGCAGAGTTTGTGTAGACTCCTGTACAGCAAGACTACAAAGAGACTAAACCGTCTAGTACAGCAAGATTCTACAATCTATAACCTGAGACTAAACCGTCTAGTAGAGCAACACTACAATCTTTAATCTGAAACTAAACCATCCTCAGGACGGTCTACTGGTCGACCGTTGGGGCAGGCGCCAGCATAGAGAGCACTGATTATGAAGGCAACAACAGGCAGGTTCTTGCTTCGACCATGCTGCTTCAACCCGTGGCCTTGGCCTTTGATCAGAAAAGTTGGTATCTGTATCTTAGTAATATATAAGTACCTTGCTACGTTTAGATTAGGGGTCTCCAAACTTTTCAGTCCGAGGGCCACATTAACTATCAAATTCCAGTTCGGGGGCCAGTTTCTTCCAGGCATGTCTTTGATTTTTCTGGGCAAAGTTCCTCAGCCATTATCAACAAACGTTTTTTCCGTGAACAAAAGATATCCGCGGGCCGGATGAGAGGACAGAGCCGTAGTTTGGAGACCCCTGTTTTAAAACATAAAGGAGATGAGTTTTTATAATAAAGTGTCATTTAGATAGAAAAAATAAATTATTTCATGTGTCAATATTTTAGCGATACCATTTTTAAAAGGTTTTATCAACTTTTTAATAATTTCACTATAGATTAATCTTACACTGACTTCTGCAATAATTACATGGTTATATTAATACTGGTACATTACATTCTCTGACAATATCGTGTTTGAATATTGTTGTAGCCCTAACTTAGTTTTATATTTATTGTTCTAACAAAACAAACTAATTTCTATAGCCTCACCATAGTTGTATAGGAATCATGTCTTAAGCTAATTGTCCTGTTTTTGGCAGCTAGACAACTTTACTTCTGTGATGCTGGCACCCATAGAATCGAGGTGATGGACAGTGACGGCAACAACCGGAAGTTGCTGTTTGCTGACGATAGCGTCCAGTTTCTTGGCTTTGCTCTGACGTCATCACATATTTTTTTCAGCGATCAACACAGCGGGTGTGTAGTGTGTAAATTTTAATTAGTTACACAATAGTGGCAACACAGAGAGTGTGTAGTGTGTAATTGTTTATTAGTTACACAATAGTGACAACACAGAGAGCGTGTAGTGTGTAATTGTTTATTAGTTACACAATAGTGACAACACAGAGAGCGTGTAGTGTGTAATTGTTTATTAGTTACACAATAGTGACAACACAGAGAGCGTGTAGTGTGTAATTGTTTATTAGTTACACAATAGTGACAACACAGAGAGCGTGTAGTGTGTAATTGTTTATTAGTTACACAATAGTGACAACACAGAGAGCGTATAGTGTGTAATTGTTTATTAGTTACACAATAGTGACAACACAGAGAGCGTGTAGTGCGTAAATTTTTACTAGTTACACAATAGTGGCATCACAGAGAGTGTGTAGTGCGTAAATTTTTATTAGTTACACAATAGTGACAACACAGAGAGTGTGTAGTGTTTAAATTTTCATTAGTTATACAATATTGGCAACACAGCGAATATGTAGTGTCGAAATGTACATATGATATTTTTTACTGAGAAATGTATGTTATAGACCTACTACCGTTTACTGACAGACAAGTACTGCATATCTCTATTAAATTGTATTATACATAGTTTCAAATCGGATTTCTTTCTGACATCTGTCTACTTCGTCTTTGATGGGGTGAGGGGGGGGGGAAGACGGACGGACACTGGTTAAAGTTTATATTATTTATGTAATATAGACCACATTTTTTTTCTATTTCGTCGGGAATAATCATCCCCCAGCCCCGGGAGAGATTCGACTGAAAGAAACTTTGGCTACAGATACCTGTAATATTGTTTTTTGTTTTGTTCAGGGGCGTCCATCGTTTGGAGCTTGACGGGTCCAACTTGAGTCAGGTGGGGCCAAAGACGTTAGAGGTGGACGGGATGGTGGCCTACCAGTCATCGTCTGCTTCAAGTGTTTGATACAGTCATCGTCTGCTTCAAGTGTTTGATACAGTCATCGTCTACTTCAAATGTTTGATACAGTCATCGTCTGCTTCAAGTGTTTGATACAGTCATCGTCTGCTTCAAGTGTTTGATACAGTCATCGTCTACTTCAAGTGTTTGATACAGTCATCGTCTGCTTCAAGTATTTGATACTGTTATCGTCTGCTTCAAGTGTTTGATACGTTTGTCGTCTGTTTAACAGTCCTTGTACCATAGAAGCTAATTTATTTTTAAAGTAAATTGCAAAAATTATTATTTTATTAAAAAAATTGTAAAAACATAATTTTCTTGCATTTCTTACAATCAATTTAATGAAATAGAAATTAAAGACTTTTACGGGGACTAAAAAAGACGTCACTTGAAACGTATAAGAACTTATCCAAATAAAAGGCAATTTATACCGAAACAAAAGCTTTAAGGCCGAAAAAAAAATCAGTCAAAAAGAAAAACGTATAACAATATATAATAAAAAAAAACACAAAAAATAATTGAGTTTCTTTTTAAAAATATTCTATTCCTTAAATAACTGATTTGCATCTTTGCTTTTTTATCTTCACAGATCGTCTAATTAGAGAATACAATGAATTTATAGAGATTCGAGAGCTAAGGATAAACTAGACTTGGGACATAAGACATTTTTTCACATGTCCGTAGATACTAAATCTAGCTTTCTAGATCTAGAATCTAGGCCAATACTTAGTTTCTTTACTATTCTATGTATAATATAAAGCAATAAATGTTCACCAAATTGGATATACCTAGCTGGCTGAGAAGATAATGCAATAGATACCATGTGGGTGGTACGGGTACGAATAACATGATTTTTTTCCCGTCACAGAAAATGCACGGTGGGAAATCACAACACACGCGATTGGGTCTAATTCGTTATACTAGTTTGACGTTAGTTTTAATACTTTTCTCATGTATTATTCATATGAGGATCGAGCTCAGAAAATGTTATAGAAAGAAATCAATGTATTTAAAAATACAGAAATATTTAAGCTGAGGTGTGACTAGTTTTTGGATGTGAATGATGAAGTTTCGTGATTGGTGGGACATGGTGCAGGTGAAGTAGAGTTCACCTGTGTCTGTGAAAGGGGTGTGAGTAAAGGGGGGTGGTGGGAAAGGGGAGGATGTAAAGAGGGTAGTGGGAAAGGGGTGGGGGTAAAGGGGGATAGTGGGAAAGGGGTGGGGGTAAAGGGGTAGTGGGAAACGGGTGGGGGTAAATGGGGGTAGTGGGAGAGGGGTGGGGGGTAAAGGGAGGTAGTGGTTAAAAGGTGAGGACAGTTGTGAATGATGGGGTGGGGGATGGGTTGCGAGGGAGTGTGGGATGAGGGGATCAGGGGTGGGACGAGGGAAGAGCAGAAGGGATGTGAGGGAGGGGTTGCATGTTAAAGAAGACGAAATTATAACTTACTTGAAGAGATTATTTGAACGTGAAAATATTTCCTCCTTCGCCCGCAGACCGAAAATTTTGTACATGTTAATCTCAGTAAGTAGATAAAAAGTGACAGTTTCTAAACTATTTACACCGGCAGTGCTGTTTAGTTGACTGTCCTTACCTGACCCCTATCACAATCTACATGACCTAGGTTCACATAGAGAGTCTCCATATGGCTCAGAAGAATTTTCTCTGTAAAGTATGTGTACACCAAACTTGTAGAATTCTCAACTGAAAAATTTCACATTTTTAATGACGATTTTCTTTTTTTCTTTCTTCCATATTTGTTATTAAAATATTGAAAGGGATTTCCCCACCATAATTATTACTAGTGAAATTTGTATTTAATGAGTTAACCTATGAGGTCTGTAATGCATTCGTTTTTTTTTTCATTTTCAAGTTTACTTTCCTAGCTAACAAGTCTCATCAGACCGGGGGTCAGAACTCGCGAGTATTTGGAGTTGGTCCCCGAATTTTTTTTACACCGCCCCCCCCCCCCCCGAACGAAATGAAATTTATATAATTTATATAGAAAATATATACTTTTAACAGTGCGCCCCCCCCCCCCGAAGAAAGTCTACCGCCCCCCCCCCCCCCGAAAATTTCAAGTGCCCCCCCCGGAGAAAAAAGTCTGGAAGAAACACTGGCCAACCCTCTAAAAACATAAAGATGTATTTTTTCTGTGCACATGAAAACAGCGTGGGCGGTGATGATAGTTACCAGTAGTGTTAAAAAATGTGATGCCGCGGTGGTTTGTGTAAATCTCCTATCGAGGGGTGGGGGGGGGGGGGGGGCAATTGGTGAAAATAAAGATTTAATTAGATCTCATTATCTTTTCTGCTACTCCCATGTTAGCTACACAATCGTCCTGAGAAAAAGTAAATCAAAAGAGTTACTATCTAGAACTTTCGGTGGCCTACTTGAACTAGTTCTATAGCCTGAAACATTCATCTGTTGTTTTAAAGTCTCGTGGAACTAGATCTGTTAGTACCGCTGTAGTCAAGATGGAGTGTTCATATCTTGTTGTTGTTGTATTGCTGGTTCAGTTTATGTCGGCGTTGGTTGGTAAGTGGTCATCATAAAATCTATGGTTACCTTGTATTTATGTTGGAGAATGTTGTCCAACTTTAAACCTACATAAGTTAACCTGATATTTCCCCATGTTAAACCTACCTAAGTTAACCTGATGTTGCCCCATGTTATACCTACTTAAGTTAACCTGACGTGCCCCATGTTAAACCTACCTAAGTTAACCTGCTGTATCCCAACATTAAACCCACCAAAGTTAACCTTATGTTGCCCACTGTTAAACCTTCCCAAGTTAACCTGATGTTTCCTCATGTTAAACCTACCTAAGTTAACCTGAAATTGCCCAATGTTAAACCTACCAAAGTTAACCTTATGTTTCCCCATGTTAAACCTACCTAAGTTAACCTGATGATACCCCATGTTAAACCTACCTAAGTTAACCTGATGCGCCCCATGATAAACCTAAGTTAACCTTCTGTATCCCAACATTAAACCCACCAAAGTTATCCTTTTGTTGCCCCATATTAAACCTATCTAAGTTAACCTGATGTTGCCTCATGTTTAACCTACCTAAGTTAACCTTATGTTACCCTATGTTAAACCTACCTAAGTTAACCTGATGTTGCCCCATGTTAAATCTACAAAAGTTAACCTGATGTCGTCTCAAGTTAAACCTACCTAAGTTAACCTTATGTTGCCCCATGTGTGTGTGTGTGTGTTAAACCTACCAAAGTTCACCTGATATTGCTCGATGTTCAACCTACCTAAATTAACCTAATGTTTCTTCATGTTAAACCTACCAAAGTTAACCTGAAATTGCCCAATGTTAAACCTACCAAAGTTAACCTGATGTTGTCTCAAGTTAAACCTACATTAGTTAACCTGATGTATCCCAACGTTAAACCTACCTAAGTTAACCTGATGATACACCATGTTAAACCTACCTAAGTTAACCTGATGAGCCCCATGTTTAACCTACCTAAGTTAACCTTCTGTATCCCAACATTAAACCCACCAAAGTTATCCTTTTGTTGCCCCATATTAAACCTACCTAAGTTTACCTGATGTTGCCCTATGTTAAACCTACCTAAGCTAACCTGATGTTGCCCCATGTTAAATCTACCAAAGTTAACCTGATGTCGTCTCAAGTTAAACCTACCTAAGTTAACCTGATGTTGCACCATGTTAGCCCTACCTAAGTTAACGTTATGTAGCCCCATGTGTGTGTGTTAACCCTACCAAAGTTCACCTGATGTTGCCCCATGTTAAACCTACCTAAGTTAACCTGCTGTATCCCAACATTAAACCCACCAAAGTTAACCTTATGTTGCCGCTTGTTAAACCTCCCTAAGTTAACCTGAAATTGCACAATGTTAAACCTACTTAAGTTAACCTGATGTATCTCAACGTTAAACCTACCTAAGTTAACCTTATGTTTCCCCACGTTAAACCTACCTAAGTTAACCTGCTGCATCCTAACATTTTACCTACCTAAGTTAACCTGATGATACCCCATGTTAAACCTAGCTAAGCTAACCTGATGTGCCTCATGTTAAACCTACCTAAGTTAACCTGCTGCATCCTAACATTTTACCTACCTAAGTTAACCTGATGTTACCCCATGTTAAGCCTACCTATGTTAACCCGATGATACCCCATGTTAAACCTACCTACGTAAACCTGATGTGTCCCATGTTAAACCTACCTAAGTTAACCTTCTGTATCCCAACATTAAACCCACCAACGTATACCTTTTGTTGCCCTATATTAAACCTACCCAAGTTAACCTGATGTTGCCCCATGTTAAACCTAACTTAGTTAACCTGCTGTTGCCCCATGTTAAACCTACCTAAGTTAACCTGATGTTGCCCCATGTTAAACCTACCAAAGTTAACCTGATGTTGCCCCATGTTAAACCTACTAACGTTAACCTGAGGTTACCTCATATTAAACCTACTTAAGTTAACTTTATGTTGCCCCTCGTTAATCCTACCTAAGTTAACCTGAAGTTGCCCCATGTTAAACCTACCTAAGTTAACCTGATGTGCCCCATGTTAAACCTACCTTAGTTAACCATCTGTATCCCAACATTAAACCCACCAAAGTTATCCTTTTGTTGCCCCATATTAAACCTACCTAAGTTAACCTGATGTTGCCTAATGTTTAACCTACCTAAGTTAACCTTATGTTGCCCTATGTTAAACCTACCTAAGTTAACCCGATGTTACCCTATGTTAAACCTACCTAAGCTAACCTGATGTTGCCCCATGTTAAATCTACCAAAGTTAACCTGATGTCGTCTCAAGTTAAACCTACCTATGTAGGTTTACCTACGTAAACCTGATGTGCCCCATGTTAAACCTACCTAAGTTAACCTTCTGTATCCCAACATTAAACCCACCAAAGTATACCTTTTGTTGCCCAATATTAAACCTACCCAAGTTAACCTGATGTTGTTCCATGTTAAACCTACCTAAGTTAACCTGATGTTGCCCCATGTTAAACCTACCTTAGTTAACCTGCTGTTGCCCCATGTTAAACCTACTTAAGTTGACTTTATGTTGCCCCTCGTTAAACCTACCTAAGTTAACCTGAAGTTGCCCCATGTTAAACCTACCTAAGTTAACCTGATGTGCCCCATGTTTAACCTACCTAAGTTAACCTTATGTTGTCCCATATTAAACCTACCAACGTTAACCTGATGTTGCCTCATGTTAAACCTACCTAAGTTAACTTTATGTTGCCCTATGTTAAACCTACCTAAGTTAACCTACTGTTGCCCCATGTTAAACCTACCTAAGTTAACCTGATGTTGCCCCATGTTAAACCTAAGTTAACCTGATGTTGCCCACAGAGACAACGTTTTCCTGCATATACTGCCTTGCTGTCGAGGACCCAAGCCTGTGCCACACACGGACCAAGTGCTCGACCTATCAGGTAAAGTTTCATGTGGCCAGGTAAATGGTTGCATGACGTTCACGCTGTTAGTAACGGCGGTATCATTAGAGCGGTCAAGGTGTAGCTAGATCTGTATGACCAACTATATGAAGCAGTCACAAAGTACCTGGATATGTAAAACTAGTTGAAGCAGTCACGAAGTAGCTAGATCTGTAAAACAACTAGTTGAAGCAGTCACGAAGTAGCTAGATCTGTAAAACAACTAGTTGAAGCAGTCACGAAGTAGCTAGATCTGTAAAACTACTAGTTGAAGCAGTCACGAAGTAGCTAGATCTGTAAAACAACTAGTTGAAGCAGTCACGAAATAAAATGGATCTGTAAAACAACTAGTTGAAGCAGTCACGAAGTAGCTAGATCTGTAAAACAACTAGTTGAAGCATTCACGAAGTACCTGGATCTGTAAAACAACTAGTTGAAGCAGTCACGAAGTAGCTAGATCTGTAAAACTACTAGTAAAGCAGTCACGAAGTACCTGGATCTGTAAAACAACTAGTTGAAGCAGTCACGAAGTAGCTAGATCTGTAAAACTACTAGTAAAGCAGTCACGAAGTAGCTAGATCTGTAAAACAACTAGTTGAAGCAGTCACGAAGTAGCTGGATCTGTAAAACAACTAGTTGAAGCAGTCAAGCTGTAGCTAGATCATACATAGTTTTACAACACCACCACACGTAAAACCACACTCCCCCCACACGCAAGAAGTTATTGTGAAACTGCCACAGTACTCAGTGTGATTAAACATAAAAACTTTTTATTTGGCAAGTCTTACAAGAAATTCGACCTTCCCGCTAATACATGCAATAGAAAAGCCTTAATACATAAGGATTGAGTACAATAAATTTTTTAGAACCACTTTATTATGTCACGGATCGTTTTTTGTCCAAAGATATTTTCTTTTATCATTTCAGCTGTGTTATGCTGAGGTGAAAGTAACAGAGAGAAATAACAGTTTATATTTTCTGGATTGTCAAGACGCCGTGGTAGGTTATCATTTTAATTTATTTGGCTTAGAATAAGTGCAGCGATTGAGGAAATATTGTTGATTTAATTTAAAAATAAACATCAGTTATAGACAGCAGTCAAGTAGACATTACAGTGAGGGGTTACTGAAGCCATCCAGAGAACGTTCATAACGCCACTTTTACTACTCACCAACATGTATGACCTTAAACATTTTACCGTTCTAAAAAGTACTTCTTTACCGGCCAATGTAAAATGTAGGGTTTACACGTTATACTAACCAGGACACATCCCTTGTTTTGCTGGTACAACTCTACTTCTAGATATGGGGGATGGGGAGGGGGCACAAAAAGGGGAGAAAAAAATTCAAACCTCATTTTAAGCTGCAGTGTTGAAGTATAACGTCCAAAGTTGAGAAAATGAACGGCTAAAAGCCTTTACATAGTGATTTAAGTGATTTTTCTTTTATTGTTTGAATTTAAAACATATACTATTAAGAAACAGTGACTGTCAAAAACTGCTTTCCAGCTTTTCCTAAATCTGGAAAGGAGAAGGGGGGGGGGGGGAGAATGCTTTCTCCCCGAATAAAATAGGAAGGAATTACTCTGGTTTGGTAATTTGTTAAACTTTATCACTTATGAAAGAAACAAAGTGTATTAAAACGGATCGTACGATTGTGCAATCGTAAAAAGGTAGTGACGTTAAAACCTACTCTACCAACTTTGTCCAAGATGGAGGGGAGGGGGGGGGGGGCGTTTTTTCGCCAACAAAAATTGCAAGGATTTGTACAGGGTTGGTGAGTAGATAACATTTTAACACTTTTAAAAAACCCAAATGTATTAAAGTGTATTGTGTAACAGTAAAATGAGAAAAAGGTGTGGGTGGGGAGTTTTTTTCGCCATGGTAAATGGAAAGAATTTACAACGGAACGGCGATTAGATACGTCGTTAAACACTTAGAATATTAACGCGTAATGTATGATTTCACTAGCCAGGTTTTGTTAAGAAATGACGTAACTAGATCTTTGTACGATTCTTACGATTCTCTCAACTTCAAACTGTGAGATTAAATACTTTTACTTGATTGCATTACATCTTGCCTGGATCCACCGTATTAAAAAGAAATGAATTCATGAATTATTGCATTCCTATCCGTTCTTGAAAATAGCATGCGGTATTAGCGTGGGGAAAGGCGATACCTTTGCCGAAATTTTAAGAGCAGGCAAGTGTCCATTCAGGCGTTTGTCGCATTCGGGCAAGTGTCCATTCTGGAAATCGGCCTTTGGGGCAAACGGCACTCGGGAAAGTATATTTCGGGAAAGTATCTTTCGGGAAAACGTTAGCTCCCCAAGGAGGGGTAGTTACTCCACTGTTTATATCCTCTACAGCACTGTGACAAACTGGCTGGGTCTGTGATCATAGGCAAGAGAGAAGATACCGGAGCCGTTACTGACGTCACGACCTGCAAGAAATGTTGCAAAACTGACGAGTGTAACAGGGAGATTTGTGGCACAAGTTAGTCGTGTAGTTATGGTTAGGTGGAGGGGGGGGGGGTAAGGTTAGGTGGGGGTAAGGTTTGGCGGGATTAATGTTTGATGGGGTTAAGGTGAGGTTGGGTTAAGGTGAAATGGGGTTAAGGTAAAGTGGGGTTAAATTTTGGTGGGATTAAGTCAAGGTTTGATTAAACTAAGGTTTGAAGCGTTTTAGATGAGTTGGGGTGAAGGCGATGTTTAATTAATGTAGTGTTAAGGTTCAGCAAGTTTTAAGGATAGAAGGGACAAAGGTTTGTCTAAGTTAAGGTTGATTGGTGTTAAGCATGGGTAAGATTACATAGTAAATGTTTGGTGGGTTAAAGGTATGTATGGTTGGTCTGAGATCTGTAATCCAACTCTCCACGATTTGAATGTTTTCTCTGTGATCTGTTATCAAACCCAAAATGGTCTTAATGTTTTGTCTGAGATACGTGATCCAACTCTCCACGATTTGAATGTTTGGTCAGAGATCTGATATCCAACCCTACTGTAGAACCTGATGCCGTGAATCCGGACAACGTCACCAAGAACAACACGTACGTCAGGCTAGCTGTGTTGGGACAGGTCGAGGTCTTTGTTAACGGCGTCTGGTCGACTCTTTGCGTCAACGGCTGGGATGATGACGCTGCCCAAGTTGCTTGTCACATGATGGGCTACAGTAGGTCAGTGAGGCAATAGGTTATGGCCAGTGTTTCTTTTAAGCATCTCTCACCCCGGAGCAATACACCGCCCCCTTCCAAAGTTTCAAGTTCCACCACCCCAAGAAAATAACTGAACGAAACTGCATATGGTAGCTTGGTTTATTCAGGCAAATGTGTGATTAACAGAAACAATATTCACGTTGTGTTCAGAGGCGTAGCTACCCTTCCCGGCGCCCGGGGCGAAATTTCAATTTCAGTAAAAAAAAATCAGCTTTAAATTTTTTCCCACCCGTTTTGGCGGCTCCCTACGGTCTGCGCCCGGGGCGCCCCCCCCCCCTTCACGCCCCTTCTAGCTACGCCTCTGGTTGTGCTGACCAATCATTGAAAACGTTTCCAGAGAAGGTTCCAAGGCCGTGAACAAGAGCACTGCGGGGACGGGGCTGGGCGTGGCCAACCTGGACGGGCTGACCTGTCAGGGTGACGAAGACCATCTGCTGGACTGTGCACTGTCTGCTGGCGACTGGAGCCTGCACGCTTGCCCCACCCTGGAGAGTGCAGGTGTTGTGTGCAATTACAGTGAGTACTGTGGCAGGTGTTGTATGCAATCACAGTGAGTACTGTGGCAGGTGTTGTTTGTATTCAGTGAGTACTGTGGCAGGTGCTGTGTGTAGTAAGTGAGTACTGAGGCAGGTGGTGTGTGTATTCAGTGAGTACTGTGGCAGGTGTCGTTTGTATTCAGTGAGTACTGTGGCAGGTGTTGTTTGTATTCAGGGAGTACTGTGGCAGGTGTTGTTTGTATTCAGTGAGTACTGTGGCAGGTGTTGTTTGTATTCAGTGAGTACTGTGGCAGGTGTTGTTTGTATTCAGGGAGTACTGTGGCAGGTGTTGTGTGCAATCACAGTCAGTATGGTGGCAGGTGCTGTGTGTATTCAGTGAGTAATAAAACAGAGAGTGTTAGTTACCTCACAATTTAAAGACAGTTACAAATATAATTGACGTTTCGACCCAAGGTCTTCGTCAGCACACAACAGTCTGTTCACAAATTAGACAGAAAAGACAAACAGTACCACGATTTTGGACTTAGCTCGACAGTGAAAACACGACTTGACGAAATGCCACGATATCCAAAAGAAAAGACGCGTGAAGAAGGACGCTGTGATACCGTATAGGGTGGGGATGGAGCGTGGTGTATGGGGGGGGGGGGGGTTGGTTAGGTGAAAGATACATGTTCGTTCAAACCATCTGGTGACCGTGTGCAAAACTTAAGTATAAGTCGTGTATCAGTGTCATAATTGAAATAAACCGGGAGTGATCTCCCCTATACTTTCTCGAATCTAATATATAAAGCTCAGTTCTGCATGTAATGCATTTGTATGTCGTTGGAATTGTACGATTTTAAGTGTTAGAAAAATTATCGTGCGCATTTGTCTAAATTTATGAGCTAAAAAATTACCATTGAAAGTGTTGGGAAATCATTTTCATTTTTCAAATTATAGTAATAATTGTCGGCATGTTCATTAAACACAAGTTTTAAAAAAAATATCATCTTTTACAAAAATTCTAATTATGTCTTTATTTAGTCCTATAGCACTTACTTCCCTTTGATAAATTAGGAAAAACACAATTACTTCCCTTTATAAAAACCCATTGCATTCCGTGAAAATAATTTACTTTTTAATTACTTTGTTTTGGTGTTGGGAAAAAAAATAATTACATAATTAGCGGGGATTGATCAAGTGCAAATGTTGTAGGTATTTTACGGATAAGCTTGGAGTATTAAAATTGTTTATTAAATTGAAACAGGCGCGTTCGTTTAAGTGAGTGCAAAAGACTGTGAATAAGTTGGGGTACTATAGTCGTTCATTAAGCTAAAACAGGTGATTCCGCCCCGGGCGTTTATGTTCGCGTTAGTGTTTTCTTTGTGTTTAGGTGGGTTAGCGTTAGTGGTTGCGTTTTAATTTGGTTCGTTTTTGTTCTTTCTTTTTTCGTTTTTGTTTGTGTTTTTTTTTGTTTGGGTTTGTATTTGTGTTTTTGGTTGGTTTTGCGTTTGGATTTGGTTTGTTTTCGTTTGCTTTTTTCGTTGATTTTTTTTTTTGTTGGTATTGGTGTTTGTGGTTGGGTTTGTTGTTAGGTTTTTGTTTTCGTTTGCTTTTTTGTTTGTTTTTTCTTTGTGTTTGTATTGGTGTTTGTGGGTGTGGTTGTGTTTGTTGTTAAGTTTTTGTTTTCGTTTGTATTTGTAGTTGTGTTAGCGTTATGTTTGCGTTTTGTTGTTTTGGTTTTGGTTGGTTGTGGTTTGGGTGGGCAATGCCGGGTTTATGATGATTACTAAACACACAGGTAATGGTCTTTAAAAGAAAGGTTTTTCACAGAAGCCAGAGCAGGGCCTGGCCGGGACGGCTAGTATTCTTATATAACTTGAAATATAGACATGATTTTTAATTACTTAAACTTTTAAATATAGAATAGAATCTCATAGAAAAAGAATTGCGCACCAAGCGAACGCCAAAACAAAATGTGCGCAATAGTGCGCAATATTATTAGTACTTTATAAATTTACATGCATTTTTTGAGAAATCGAAAATAGCGTAAATTAGTACTTCCGGTCAACGGAAATTACTCAAAATTTGACAGAAGGTAGAGAATTAGATTTTTTACTTACATGTGAAATTTCATTTATCTATCTGAAAGAGTACTCAAGTTATAGGCTTTTGAAAAATTCAAAGTAGAAAAAGTACCACTTCCGGTTATCGGAAATCGCTCAAAAGTTAATCAGGATCTACGATTTTGATAAAATACTTATATATGAAATTTCATCAACCTAGCTTTAGCGGCACTCAAGTTATCGTGTTTACACACAGACAGACAGACACACAGACACACAGACATACAGACAAGATTGCAAAATTATGTTTTTCCGTATCAGTGAGTTGTAAAACGTCGAGATTTCCAAAAATCTCGATTTTTTTGTTTTTGCACGATTACAAGACTTTCTCTATACGAAAAAGTAAAAAAAACCTAAACACTGAAACGCGACTTTTACTTGATGGCCCACCTATGGACTGCGACCATCTATAGCTACCAGATGATAGTTCGTAAAAAACGACCCGCGATGGACTGCGACCATAGACAGCTTCCGACAGTGTGAAATGAGGACAATAAACGCCACTATAGCCCCCCCCCCCTTTCCCCACTCTGTCACCTTTACCGATTTGAGAAGAAGCCGACTGTTAGGTTTCTTCTTTTTATTCAATTATTTTATCCTTGATGAGAGTTTTTAATTTTGTGTTGTTTTTTTTTTTGACTAGCCGGCATCTTGGATAACTTTTTGTTGTTGGCAGACAGGACGTTTAGAGGCGGTATAGTGCGCATGGACCTGGACACGTTTAGGTCAGTTGATAGGCACAACTAGGTGAGGTGATAGACACATTTAGGTGAGTTGATAAGCATTCATTTAGGTGAGGTGATAGACACAATTATGTCAGTTGAAAAGGACACATGTAGGTGAATTGATAAGGATTCATTTAGGTGAGTTGATGAGGGTATAGCTAGGTGAGTTGATAAGGACACATTTTAGTGAGTTGATAGACACGTTAAGATTAGTTGATACAGATCTACTTGACTAACACACACTCCACTGACCCATTGAACCTTTGTATCAACCAGCTACGCGTTGCTGTACGCGCCACGCTTGACTTCTTCCATCAGACCTGTGGCCTTGACCTTCGAGCCCATGTACCAACGGGTCTACAGCCTTCTCTACGTCAACTCGTCTGACGGCCTAAACTCGGAGATCTGGTGCCAAGACGTCCAGACTACTGGGCCCGCCTACCCGCTCATGTGGATTCAAGGTCAGTCGCTTGTCCGCGTGAGTGCTCTCGTCTACTTTTGTTTTGTCCAGTCAATTAAAATTGTCATCTTTAACTTTTCTATAACTTTTCTATGTTCCGTTTAACTAGAGCATCTTTTGTCACTGATTGTGCGATTTTGTTTTAACTTGTTTCATTCATACAAATTATTTTTTCAATATATAAAAAGAATGTGTTAAATGACTAGTGAAGTTTAACATCATTACTTACAGTTACGTTTATGAAGTTAAACACCACTAACATTTCGCCCTCTTCTGTGACAGCTCTTGTGAATGGTATCGCCGTTGACTCCTCGAGGAACCTCCTGTTTATGACTGACGCCACCAACAGAAACATCACCAGAGCCTACACGACTGGCACCGACCCTGAACCTGTCGTCTCGCTGGATGACGAGCCTCACGCTGTGACCTTAGACCAGACCAACCAGTGAGTTGGTGGTTCTATCACAACGATCTTTAGTGTTTGTGTTTGTGTTTGTGTTTGTGTTTGCGATAGAGTTTAGGTTTTAGTTGTGGTTAGGTTAAATTTAGAGTTATAGTTAGGTGTAGGGTTATATTTTATTGTCTCAAACGGCAAAGCCGGGTATAAACTGCTTAAACACAAGTCATCGTCCTTTACAGATGTATTTTTTTTCCACACAGGCCAGTGCAGGGCCTTGCCGAGACAGCTAGTTTTTATAAAGAAAGATTAAGGAATTAAGTTAAAAATAAATTCATATGCGTTTTCAGAGAAATTGGAAATAGGGTAAAGTACTACTTCCGGTCACCGGAAATTATTCAAAATTTGACAGAAAAAAAAAATCTTCTACAAGTGAAATAGCCTTTTGAATAACCTAAAGTAGAATAAGTTCCTTTTCCAATTACCGGAAATCGACGAAAAGTTGATACAGGGCTTCAAATTTGATATAATACATATAATTAAGTTTTTCCAACTCTGGAAGGTCTAAAACGAGATAGTAAAAATGGTGCTTAAGTTATGTTAAGATACTATAAATTCACCACAATGTTAAAATTATATTTTCGCTTTTTTGTATATATATATATATATATATATATATATATATATATATATATATATATATATATATATATATATATATATATATATATATATATATATATATATATATATATATCGCTGCTGGTAGTGTGTCAGTCCTTCCTTACTTCCGTCATCGCTATAGATTTTGAAACCATTAAAATATACATCGCACAAAGCAGTGCTTTTACATTGCATCGCATTGACTTATTATAAATAAGAGAGTAGGGTTTTTTATATAACGACTTAAATTTATTGTATAGTTACCACAGTTTTTACACTTTCGAATAACGTGAAGAAATTATTAAATACACACTAAAACATATTAAACGGATTAATGTCAAATATAATTTTCGTTTAGATTCCTAAAAGAGTGGATACATTTTCATAATAGTAGGGTCGAAAAAACTAATTAATTAAAATCTTTAATAGTTATACTAGGGGAGGTAATTTTAAAATAAATTCAACTCACTCTAATTAAAAAAAATGTGAATGCAAAATCTCCAAGAGGGAATTATTGTTTGAGTAATATAATTATCAAAATGTGAATGTAAATTCTGCAGACGTGTATGAGGACATTATTGTTGGAATATTATAATTAGCATTGATTGATAAAAGGCTATCTTTTATATATTTTTATTTTATTCACTGAGCGTACTGTTTACTGATTATAATTTTTAATCAACGATTCCGCAACTTTATACACGCGTCATCACGTTCATTAGGTGCGCAATAGTTTTTAGTTATGAAACTCTATTGCGAATTTTTTAAATTTAAAGTACTTAAAAACAATGCATGAATTGATAAAGTGCAATATGGTAGGTAAAACGCGGATATTTTAAATACTGCCTTTCGTTTATTTTTATACACTGAACGTAATGTTGACTAATCATTATTCTATCTTTCGGTTTGCGAGGGGTTTTATAGTCATTCACTGAATCAGGGTGCAATTTCGCGCCACGGGCTAGACTTTGAGCACTATGCGTTTATGTTTGCATTTAAGTTGTGTTTACGTTATGAGTGGTGTGTTTGTTTTTTCGTTTTTTTGCGCTTGCATTGTATTTGTGTTTTCGTGTGTGTTCTTTTTGCATTTGCTTTTTGTTTTGTGTTTACGTTTGTGTATTAGGTTTGTGTTTCGTTTGTGTTTGAACTGTTTTTGTTTTCTTTTGTGTTTGTGTAGTAGTTTTCTTTTGTGTTCATATTTTATTTTGTGATTGTGTCGTGTTTGTGTTTTCCTTGTGTTTGTGTTTTCTTTTGTGTTTGTGTATTCTTTTTCTGTTTGTGTTGTGTTGTGTTTATGTTTATGTTTTGTTTGTGTTCTGTTCGTGTTGTGTTCGTGTTTGTGTTATGTTTACTTTTGTTCTGTTCCCAAATTGGTACTTTTAAAAAATATTTACCGTGGCGAAGCACCGGTATGCACATGTAATCTGGCAGAGTTTGTGTAGACTCTTGTACAGCAAGACTACACTGAGACTTAACCGTCTAGTAGAGCAAGATTCTACAATCTTTAATCTGAAACTAAACCGTCTTGTAGAGCAAGATTGTACAATCTATAACCTGAGACTAAACCGTCTAGTAGAGCAAGATTCTACAATCTATAACATGAGACTAAATTGTCTAGTAGAGCAACACTACAATTTTTAATCTGAGACTAAACCATCCCCAGGACAGTCTACTGGTCGACCGTTGGAGCTGGTGCCAGCATAGAGAGCGCTGATTATGAAGGCAACAACAGGCAGGTTCTTGCTTCGACCATGCTGCTTCAACCCGTGGCCTTGGCCTTTGATCAGAAAAGTTGGTATCTGTATCTTAGTAATATATAAGTACCTTGCTACGTTTAGATCATAAAGGAGATGTTTTTTTTACTTTCTTGTATATACGAAGTATAGAGAAAGTCTTGTAATCGTGCAAAAAAAAAGTTGAGATATTTTTTGCAAATCTCGACGTTTTACACCTCACTGTTACGGAAAAACATAATTTTGCAATCTTGTCCGTATGTCTGTGCTTATGTATCTGTGTATGTCTGTGTGTGTGTCTGTTAACACGATAACTTGAGTACCGTTACAGCTAGGTTGATGAAATTTCATATATAAGTATTTTATCAAAATCGTAGATCCATATCGAATTTTGAGTGATTTCCGATAACCGGAAGTGGTACTTTTTTATTTTGAATTTATCAAAAGCCTATAACTTGAGTACTATTTTAGATAGATAAATGAAATTTCACATGTTAGTAAAAAATCTAATTCTATACCTTCTGTCAAATTTTGAGTAATTTCCGTTGACCGGAGTACTAATTTACGCTATTTCAGATTTCTCAAAAAAAAAAAAAAAATGTAAATTTATAAAGTACTAATAATATTCTGCACTATTATGCACATTTCATTTGGCGTTCACTGGTGTGCAATTCTTTTGTCTACGAGATTTTATTCTATTTTAAAAAGTTTAAGTATTTAAAATGGATTAAAACTCATGTCTATATCCCGAGTTCCCATCCCCTGTTTTTTTATATAAGAATAATCAAGAAAGTTTAGGGGAGATCGCTCCCGGTTTATATAATAAAGTGTCATTTGGATAGTGAAAAATAAATTATTTCATGTGTCAATATTTTAGCGATACCATTTTTTAAAGCTTTATCAACTTTTTAATATTTTTCAATGCATTGTTCTTACACTGACTTCTGCGATAATTACGTTGTTATATTAATACTGTTACATTCCTTTATCTGACAATATCGTGTTTGAATATTGTTCCAGCCCTAACTTAGTTTTATATTCATTGTTCTAGCAAAACGAACTAATTTCTATAGCCTCACCATAGTTGTATAGGAATCATGTCTTAAGCTACGTGTCCTGTTTTTGGCAGCTAGACAACTTTACTTCTGTGATGCTGGCACCCATAGAATCGAGGTGATGGACAGTGACGGCAAGAATCGGAAGTTGCTGTTTGCTGACGACAGCGTCCAGTTTCTTGGCTTTACTCTGACGTCATCACATATTTTTTTCAGCGATCAACACAGCGGGTGTGTAGTGTGTACATTTTAATTAGTTACACAGTATTGGCAACACAGAGAGTGTGTAGTATGTAAATTTTAATTAGTTACACAATAGTGACAACACAGAGAGTGTGTAGTGTGTACATTTTAATTAGTTACACAATAGTGACAACACAGAGAGTGTGTAGTGTGTACATTTTAATTAGTTACACAATAGTGACAACACAGAGAGTGTGTAGTGTGTACATTTTAATTAGTTACACAATAGTGACAACACAGAGAGTGTGTAGTGTGTACATTTTAATTAGTTACACAATAGTGACAACACAGAGAGCGTGTAGTGTGTACATTTTAATTAGTTACACAGTATTGGCAACACAGAGAGTGTGTAGTGTGTAATTGTTTATTAGTTACACAATATTGGCAACACAGAGAGTGTGTAGTGTGTAATTGTTTATTAGTTACACAATATTGGCAACACAGAGAGTGTGTAGTGTGTAATTGTTTATTAGTTACACAATAGTGACAACACAGAGAGTGTGTAGTGTGTAAATTTTAATTAGTTACACAATAGTGGCAACACAGAGCGTGTAGTGTGTAAATTTTAATTAGTTACACAATAGTGACAACACAGAGAGTGTGTAGTGTATAAATTTTAATTAGTTACACAATAGTGGCAACACTGGGTATGTAGTGTCGTAATTTGTATTTTTTTCTGACAAATGTAAGTTATAGACCTACTAACCCTTTAGTATATATGTTCCTATAGAGTTACAAATCGGGTTTCTTTAAGACATCGTTCTACTTCGTCCTTCTGGGGAAAGGTACGACACTTACATTTCATTTGGGGTGGGGGGGAGTGACACTGTTTAAAGTTTATATTATCTATGTAATATAGACCAACAATTTGTTAGGTCTATTTCGTCGGAGGAGGGGAATGTGCACACAACCCCCCCCCTACGACAGAGAAAATAGGCTGTCATTTGTATAGTCAACGTTTTGTTTAGGGGCGTCCATCGTCTGGAGCGTGACGGGTCCAACTTGAGTCAGGTGGGGCCAAAGACGTTAGAGGTGGACGGGATAGTGGCCTACCAGTCATCGTCTGCTTCAAGTGTTTGATACAGTCATCGTCTGCTTCAAGTGTTTGATACAGACATCGCCTGCTTCAAATGTTTGATACAGTCATCGTCTGCTTCAAGTATTTGATACAGTCATCGTCTGCTTCAAGTGTTTGATACATTTATTGGCTGCTTCAAGTGTTTGATACAGTTGTCGTCTGCTTCAAGTGTTTGATACAGTTGTCGTCTGTTTAACAGTCCTTGTAACATAGACGCTGATTTTTTAAAAAGCAAAATTGTAAAAATTATTTTTTCATTAAAAAAAAGATTGTAAAAAACATAATGTTCTTGCATTTATTACAATTAAAACAATGAAATAAAAATTAAAGACTTTAACAGGGACTTAAAGTGACGCCACTTGAAATGTATAAGAACTTATCAAAATAAAAAGCAATTTATACCGAAAGAAAAGCCTTAAGGCCAAAAAAAAAATAATTAGTCAAAAAGAAAAATGTACAACAATGTATAATACAAAAAAAACCCACAATAAATAATTGAGTTTCTTTATTAAAATATTGTATCCCTTAAATAACTGATATACATCTTTGCTTTCGATCTAGAGCTACGGATCTAGGCCAATAATGAGTTTCTTTACTAAACTATTTCAGGCCTTAATTATTTCTTTTAAAAAATCTTTGTCTGCTTAGCAAAGGAATTGGCTAAATTAGGAAATAATTTAATTCAAAATAATATTCGCGTAACTTCCTTACACTAGCTCTAAGTAAAATATAAAGCAATAAATTTTCACACAATGGGATGTACCAAGCTGGCTGAGATGAAAGTGCAATAGATACCATGTGGGTGGTACAGGTACGAACAACATGATTTTTTTCTCTTATAGAAAATGTACAATAGGAAATCTCAATACGCGCGATTGATTCTAATTCGTTATACTAGTTTGACGTTAGTTTTAATAGTTTACTCATTTATTAATTATATGAGGTTCGAGCTCAGATAATATTATACAAAGAAATCGACGTTTTTAAAAGACAGAAATATTTAACCTGAGGTGTGACTACTTTTTCGATGTGAACGATAAAGTTGCGTTTCGGGATTGGTGGGACACGATGCAGGTGAAGCAGAGTTCTGTCTGTGACCTCAACATGTGACGGGATAGTGTTGTCGGATCCATAATCAACGGAAATCGATGTTTTTAAAAGAGAAAAAAAGATGGGTGGGGCTAAAGGGGGTAGTGGGAAAGGGGTGGGGGTAAAGGGGGGGGGGGTGGTGGGAAAGGGGTGGGGAAAGGGGGTAGTGGGAAAGGGGTGGGTGTAAAGGGGCGTAATGGGAAAGAAGTAGGGGTAAAGGGGGGTAGTGGAAAGGGGTAGGGGTAAAAGGGTGGTAAAGGGTGGAAGTGGTTGAAAGGTGAGGACAGTGGTGAATAATGGGGGGGGGGGGATTGGGAGGGGGTGTGGGATGAAGGGATTGGGATGGGAAGAGCAGAAGGGATGTGAGTTGGGTGCATGTTAAAGAAGCCGAAATTTTAATTTATTTACAGAGATTGTTTGAACGTGAAAATATTTCCTGCTTCGCCCGCAGACCGAAAATGTTATACATGTTAATCTCAGTAAGTAGATAAAAAGTGACAGTTTCTAAACTATTTACACCGGCAGTGCTGTTTAGTTGACTGTCCTTACCTGACCCCTATCACAATCTACATGACCTGTGATTACATAGAAAGTCTTCATGTGGATCAGCCAAGGCTAACTTGAATTGCTCTGTAAAGTATGCGGGCACCAAACTTGTAAAATTCTCAACGGATAATTTCAAATTTTTAATGACGATTTTACTTTTACTTTCTTCCATATTTGTTATTAAAATATATAAAAGGGATTTCCCCACCATAATTATTACTAGTCAAATTTTTATTCAATGAGTTAACCCAAGTGCTCAGTATTGAATTAGTTTTTTATCATTTTCAAGTTTACTTTCCTGGTTGGTTGCTGTCCCTAGCTAACAAGTCTCATCAGACCGGGGGTCAGAACTCGGGACTATTTGGAGTTGGTCATCATTAGCTCTTCCGTCAACCCTCTAAAAGTATAAAGATGTAATTTTTTGTGCACATGAAAACAGCGTGGGCGGTGATGATAGTTGCCAGCAGTGTTAAAAAATAATGGTCGAGGTGGTTTGTGTAAATCTCCTATCGAGGGGTGGGGGGAGGGGGGCAATTGGTGAAAAAAAAATACTTAATTAGATCTCATTATCTTTTTTTCTGCTACTCCCATGTTAGCTACACAATCGTCCTGAGAAAAAGTAAATCAAAAAGTTACTATCTAGAACAGTGGTTCCCAACCTTTTTTTAGTGGCGACCCCCTTTTATAAAAAGTAAGTGACCCGCGACCCCAATAGAATTAAAAAGTCGAAATTAGTATGGAAATTAATAAGCACTAAAATAAGATTTTCTAGTAGACTTTCAATATGAACTACTCTTGATAACTATTTTAATAGCATGAGTGACATTACATACTATTCACTAAACCTTCGTGGTTAAGTTTTTAATTTTAAACAATTTTTGTTAACGCCAACCTATGTCATTATAATTATCTTAATTTTGCTTTTAAATCGATGAATAGTGTTGAAATTATATTCTCGAAAAGTCAATCGATTTTACGTTTGGGTATGAATGGTTAATACTACAGCAAAATTGTGTGTACCGTTTTTCATCTTACTCGGAATCATTCTGCAAATCAAAGAATTCATCTTGTAACTCAGGGGTCTCCAAACTACGGCCCGCGGGCCGGATGCGGCCCGCGAAGTCCCCTCATCCGGCCCGCGGAGATCTTTTTGTCTAAGGAAAAATCGTTTGTTGGTGATGGTTGAGGAATTTTGCCCAGAGAAATAAGAGACATGCCTGGAAGAAACTGGCCCCTAAACTGAAATTTGATAGTTAATGTGGCCCTCGGTCTGAAAAGTTTGGAGACCCCTGTTGTAACTCATCGGGAATGCTGGCAACATCAAGGGAAGAAAGAATTGGTAATGCGTAAATGCAGATTCTTCTTTTTTCAGCTCAGAGAAATAGCGATGCTGTTCCTTTTCAAGAGATTCAAGATGCCTAGAAATCGCTTCTTTCAAAATTTTAATTATCTCACAATCAGATTCATCTACCACACCGCAGAGTTTCTCAAGTTAACAATATTTCCAAGATTTATTTTAATTTTCTTTTCCGATTTTGCAGCTTTGATAAAAATGCCCCGAGATTATCATGGAAAGTTATAATATTCGTTCATTTTCCCTGAAGCTTCAGGTTAAGCTTATCTTGATGTTCGAACACATCTGCTAGGTATGATACTCTCTCCAAGCACTCTATGTCGTTTTAAGTATACCAAAAAGTCTTGTTTCCTTTGCACTTCCAAGAACAATTTGATTTCAGATTTCAATTCAAAAACACGATTCACAACAATTCGTTTGACAGCCAGCGTTCTGTAGTGTAGAAGAGCAGAACCTCGTGATCTATATTAATGTTTTTGCTCAGTTCTTTGAATGCTCAAGATTTTAAATAATTTACGACTTATACTAGCAATGGACTCTTGATGTCGATTGGTTAGGGCAGTGGTTAGGGAGCTAAATCTTTTCTGTTTTCTGAAAGCCCGATTTTGAGCTAAACATAGATGGTACACGATACGTACAAACCCCCACAGCCGTTTTAACCCATCATCCAGTTTCATAAAACGTATTTGTTTTCTCCACAAAAGAGCAACTCTTCTTTGCTATCATCCGCATGAATATAGACACCGACTAGCAACTGCGAACACGAACTCACGTCTGTTGATTTATCAACTTGAAAAGCAAACAATGGTGAAAGCTTAATTTCGATAAAAATGTGTTATTTAACATTTACGTTCATGCAGCGTTTGATGAGATTTTCTCCTATTGTTTTTTTTTTTTTGGCTTGGCATTTTCTATCGCGACTACATTTGATGCTAGCACTAATGCTGGTGAAAACTTCATGTTCGATCAAGTTTCTGGCGTTTGCAACTAGCTTCTTACCGACGAAATAACTCCATATATTTTTTTTGGTGTGTTCCGAATGACTCGTCTCAAATGGCGTTTTAGTTTTGAAGATTTCATAGATTCGTGACTGAGAACAACTTTGTACAGTGCGCTTTGTTTCTTCTCTATTACATTTCCAGTGATGTTAATAAAGCCGAATTTCAATAATTCTTCTAAATATTTATGTTTTGTTTCAAATTACTAAGGTTTAGTATACCAGTTGGCGACCCCCCCCCCCCCCCGAAAGACCTTCGCGACCCCCAGGTTGGGAACCCGTGATCTAGAACTTTCGGTGGCCTACTTGAACTAGTTCTATAGCCTGAAACATTCATCTGTTGTTTTAAAGTCTCGAGGAACTAGATCTGTCAGTACCGCTGTAGTCAAGATGGGATGTTCATATCTTGTTGTTGTTGCTGTATTGCTGGTTCAGTGTATGTCAGCGTTGGCTGGTAAGTTGGTCATCATAAAATCTATTGTTACCTTGTATTTATGTTAGAGAATGTTGTTCAACTTTAAACATACATAAGTTAACTTATATTGCTCAACGTTAAATCTATATAAGTTAACCAGCTGTATCCCAACATTAAACCTACCTAAGTTAACCCGATATTGCTCAACGTTAAATCTACCTAAGTTAACCAGCTGTATCCCAACATTAAACCTACTTAAGTTAACCTTATATTGTCCCGTGTTAAACCTACCCAAGTTAACCTGATGTTGCCCCATGTTAAACCTACCTAAGTTAACCTGATGTTGCCCCATGTTAAACCTAACTAAGTTAACCTGATGTTGCCCCATGTTAAAGCTACCTAAGTTAACCTATTTTAGCTCATATGTTAAACCTACCTAAGTTAACCCGATGTTGCCCCATGTTAAACCTAAGTTAACCTACTGTTGCCCCATGTTAAACCTACCTAAGTTAACCTGATGTTGCCCCATGTTAAACCTACCTAAGTTAACCTGATGTTGCCCATGTTAAACCTACCTATGTTAACCTGATGTTGCCCCATGTTAAAGCTACCTAAGTTAACCTATTTTAGTCCATATGTCAAACCTACCTAAGTTAACCCGATGTTTCCCCCATGTTAAACCTACCTAAGTTAACCCGATGTTGCCCCATGTTAAACCTAAGTTAACCTACTGTTGCCCCATGTTAAACCTACCTAAGTTAACCTGATGTTGCCCCATGTTAAACCTACCTAAGTTAACCTACTGTTGCCCCATGTTAAACCTACCTAAGTTAACCTACTGTTGCCCCG